CCAGAACCCTATGCCCACATACACGCATATGCCCTGAGCACCCGAATGGGGAAAATGGGCATGAGGATGTGAATTTCTCATTTAATTTTAATTTATATGAATCTGAATTGTCCTGTGTGGCAGTAGCTGCCAGGGCAGACCAGGGCAGACTCAGGACAGACCCAGACCTGCCCTCTAGCCATACCTTCCCCAGCCATGTCCAGAAGCCACGTCTCTCCCTGGATTGGTCTCCCCTGGGTGTGGCCCCCCCCCCCCCCCCCGCCACCACCGGGCTTCAAGCCCTCATCGTCTTCTGCCCAGAGCCTCGAAGCACTTGGGTGGGAAATGTCAAGCCTCGCTGTTCAGAGGAATCCATCTAGCCACAAATGGTAGAATATTTTCTTAGCGGCTGTAGAAGTGTCTCCTTAGTATTGGCTACCACACTCAGTTAACTGTCTGCCCCTCGAGACAGGAGGGCCCGTGAGATTGGCAGCTGCCTATCTAGGTGATTCATCCTGGATCCTAACTCAGAAGATCCTGCTATTTTGTAGAGGCTCATTAGATGTTTGCTGAATATATCAGAGATGGAAGCATGGATGCATGGATTCATGGGTTCATTTCAGATTCTTGATTTGGATGTCTTACCGCGTGAGGCACATGGCCAATTGCATGACTGTGTCCATCATACCAAGCCTTGATGGAACAAGACTCTTGGGGCGCCTGGCTGGCTCCGTCGGTAGATCCTGCGACTCTTGATCTCAGGGTTGTGAGTTCAAGCCCCACATTGGGCATGGAGCCTACCTAAAAATAAAAGTGTTTAAAAAAAAAAAAAGACTCTTACTGAGACTCCTGGCTTATCTGTTATTAGAACTAAATTAAGAAGGAGAAGACCTGGGGCGCCTGGGTGGCTCAGTGGGTTAAGCCTCTGCCTTCAGCTCAGGTCATGATCTCAGGGTCCTGGGATCGAGCCCTGCATCGGGCTCTCTGCTGAGTGGGGAGTCTGCTTCCTCCTCTCTCTCTCTCTGCCTACTTGTGATCTCCCCGCCTCTCTATCTCTGTCAAATAAATAAAACCTTAAAAAAAAAAGAAGACCTCCAGAAGTTAGTTCTCTACGAATCTTAGCATTAACTGGATAAATTGCGAAAGTACATCAGTGGGTTTCTGCTGCACAGAATAGAAGTGCAATCATCTTTGAAAAACACAGCTAAAGTATTTACAGTTAATTATAGATGCTTATAATTTTAGTATGTATGAGTGGAATCACTTCATCAGTTTACCTCAATACATTTTATCATCTTTGTACAAGGGTTCTGAGGCTGGTACCTACTTGCAAAAGAATATCAATGATGTCTGTACTCCTGTAAGAGCTCTTTTTTTCACTGTGGCAAAATATACCTAACATGAAATTTACCGTTTTAACTGTTTCAAGTGTCCAAGTTCAGTGCACAAAGTACACTCGCTTTGTTGTGCGACCATCACACCATTTGCCTCCAGAACGTTTTCATCGTCCCGGACATAGACCATACGCATTGAACACTAACTCCACGTTCTCTCTCTCCCTAACCCACGGCAACCCCCGTGCTACTTTCAGTCTCTATGAATTTGACTATTCTAGCTAATTCACATAAGTGGAATCATACGGTATTTGTCTTTTTTGTGAATGGCATATTTCACTTAGTATAAGATCCTCAAGGCTCATTTATGTTGTAGCCTATGTTAGATATTCCTTTTGAAGGCTGAATAATATTCCATTGTCTGGCCAGGCTACGTTTTGTTTATCCATTCATCTGTTGGTTGACACTTGAGTGGCTCCTACATTTTGGCTTTTATGAATAAGGCTGCTATGAACATGGTGTACACATACCTCTTTGAATCCCTGCTTTCAATTCTTCTGAGTTACATACCCAGCGGTAGAATTGCTGGATCATAGGGTAATTCTATGTTTGATTTTTTGAGAACCTACCATACTGTTTTTCCAGAGTGGCTGCACCTGCACCATTTTTTGTTCCCATCAGCGATGCAAAGAGTTTCATTTTCTTTACATCATCACCAGCACTTGTCATTTTCTGAGTTTTTGATCATAGCCCTCTTCATGGTGAAGCGGTGTCTCACTGTAGTTTTGATTTGCGTTTCCCTCATACTTAGTGATGTTGAGCATCTTTTTCTGTGCTTGTTGGCCAGTTGTATGTCTCCTTTGGAGAAATGTCTAGTCAAGTCCTTTGCCCATTTTAATTCATGTCTGTTTTCATGTTGAGTTGTAAGAGTTCTTTATATATTGTGAATATTAATCCCTTATAAGATAATAACAATTTACAAATATTTTCTCCCATTCCATGTGCCGCAAACCCACTTTTAATCAATTAAAAAACAACTCCCACATCTAAAAGGTCTTGGTTAAGACCTAACTTGTGTTTCTTATGCACTTACTGTTTTCCACGTTTGTGCCAAACCCCTCAGAATGGGACGAGATGTATCAGCATTGGAGAGTAGGTGTGACATCTTGGCTTATGTCAGAATTTCAAAGACAGAAACAATTCTTGTTTTATGCAACTCAGAGTAAGAAAATTCCAGAGAAAGCCCCCCAAGCAGTAGTCTTTTTTGCCCTTTGAATAAATTGAGGAAGATGGATTATTTGGTCTTCCTCTCCATTAATTTTCCTGGATTCGGGTGGAAAAAGGACTCAGAAGCCAGGAACATTTTAGACCATGCCATCCCTCTTTGTCTTATGTATTGAGTGAACTTTATGCCCCACATCACATTTTAAAGAGAATGAGTAGTACAAGGAAGTAATATCTGCAGGTCAGAAATCATTAAACACGCTTCCAAATGTTCACTATTTGAGAGAAGTGGTCAGTTACCATGTACCAATTGTGTATTAAGGAAATCATTCTGATTGATGAACAAGTATGAGGGGAGAAAAGGTCAAAAAACAAGCTTCGGTGACCATTGAAACAGTCACATTAATTTCCCTTGCCAACCAATGTTTGAAAAAATTAAGACTCAGCGATTATTGAACTAGCTGAGCCCCTCAGGCAAGAGGAAATAAGCAATAAACCATCACCCTCAACCACAGATTGGTGGCAATGCAGATTGAATTAATTGATACACACACTGTTTTTGCTGATTTTTATATTCCATTCCTATGCCATTTTATGTTTCTCAGTAAAGGCAATTTATAAGATTGATGTGACTGGCTTGTGGAGTGGGGAGAAAAGCCTTCCCTCCAAGGGCAGTTAGCAAGAGATGAAGAAAGAAAACTGTGCATGACCCCAGGCTCTGGAAAATCTCAGCGGGGGGTGGGGGGGGAGGGAGCCCCTCCGGCAGTTCGAGGCACACTCCAGGCCCATCCTGCACTCCATAGCACCTGGGTTCCAGAATGTCTCAGAGCAGAATGCACTCACCAAAAGGAGAAAGCATGAGTCTGACTGGGATTGAATGGGGGCATTTGTGGTGGGAACAGGACACACTCAGCCTGAAGTTGTGGAGACACGGCTGAAGGGTGAGTGGGAAGCAAGTTAGTTATTTAGGGTGATACCTGGCTGACTCTCAGTGCTCCCTTTCTTCCCTGCCATGGGCCTCTCTGTCCCCCCAGGCTTGATACTCACCCCATCTGTGGGCCGAGGTTCTCAGGCCTCCTTCCAGGGCTTTGGGACAGTAGCCAAGCCAACCAGGAGCTTTCTCCACCCCTCACTGCCAAGGCCTCCAACCACGGTGCCCCTCACCAAGCCCTGACGCTCCCAGGCAGGCAGTCTGAGGTTCTGTGGGAAACCCTCCAGGCCCAAGTTTGCTTCTCTCAGACAATGGAGCCACAGCCGTGCAGGGTGCAGGCCCTACCTCTTCCCTCAGGAACCACCCAAGTGAACCAGGCTCACACGTGGGAGCCAGGAGCCCGGCCTTGCTCTTCTGTCTCGTGAAGACTGAGTGACTTCAGCAGCAGAGACTGATGCTCTCACAGTCCTGGAGGCCAGGAGTCTGCCATCGAGCAGTCGGCAGGTTTGGGGTCTCCTGGTGGGAATCCTGGTTTGGAAGATGCAGGTGTGACTCCAACACTCCCCCTCTCCAGGACTCTTCTCCAGCATCTTTGACCCCAGTTCCACTCCTTCAGCCCCACCTTTCCCCCTCTGCAACCCCAGAGCTGTTGCTCCGGCTTCCCTCTAGACCCCTTGGTTTGGAGATACCTGATCAGCCAAGACGCTCCGTGGCCAGACTGTTTGTTCATTGCACAAAATGTGCCTTGGGCACTGGATCTGTGCCAGACACCAGCTAAGGGTTGGCAAGAAGACAGTAGTGTCCCCGCCACCAACAAGCTCACCACTGGGGCAGGTACAAGAGCTTGTGGCCCTTAAGCTCCCGCGGCATCCTGATGCTCCTTATCCACCTGCTCTATCCTTTATATGAACCTAGAGAATTAGGCCAAAGTGCCACAACTTTCTTGAGGAAATCAAGATGCGCAGAGATGAACAGGCAAAGCGCGGATGAGGAACCCGGGTCTGTCTGCCCTAAAACCTGGGGAAGGGAAGGCCCCTGCTAGAAGACTCTGCCTGGGCTGAGCGGCTCTTGTCTCCCCTCCCCCAGCCTGTACTAAGCCACCAGCCTCCTGTCCAGTCGTCTCCCTATGGTGATGGGCCGCTTACTGTATTCATGCCCTAACCCTGACAAATGAGCTAAGTAACACAGACGCAGAGCCCATCCGTCCCAGGATGCCACATGGACCTTCCTCCAAGTACAGACCAAGGGAGGCCCTATTTAAGACCCCCACGGGCCCCCCACATCACAGCCTCCCCTGACCTATGGAATTAGGGACCCAGTTTTGAAGCAGCAGGGTCCTCTGGTTCCAGAATGCCTAGAGCTGAGTTCAGAGCTCAAGCAGCCTCCAGCGACAGAACAGCAGCCTCTCAACTCAGCTCTTTGCCTCCCCGGCTGGGAAGGGCCCCCCAGGCAGGGGGCAGGCCTGAGCTGCTGTTTGTCTGGGTGGAGCCTGTCGCAACACTGTTTACCCACCTTTGCCAGAGGTCCCGATCCCCTTGGTATGCAGTAGATACAGAGCCTACGGTGAGCACTGAGGTTGCTGGTGCTCTCTGCCCCAGACCCTCGCTCCACCTCGCCTCTGCACGCCGCTACTGGGCGCTCTGCCCCCTGAGGAAGCCTGAGGCCACTGACCCACTCCTGGAGCCATGGTATGGTCAGCCCAGCAGGGTGGCGCTCAGGCTGGGCCAGGGAACCAGGCAATGGGGGGACAAAATTAGATCACATCTGGGTCTGAGGGGAGGCCACAGAGACCCTCTTGAATTGGACTTGAGGCTCTAGGGGTGGCACTGGGGTGTTGGGGAAAGCGTGCGAGGGGAAGACCTGGATTGAACTCCGGTGTCTTCACTTGATTGCTGTGTGTGCTTGGGGAAGTTACTAAATGTCTCTGAACTTCATTTCGGCTCCTGAAAATGGGAGTACTGTTACCTATTTCATGCATTATTAGAAGGTCTAAGTAAGATACGATGTATAGAGGATCTCAATACAGTGCTGGATACACAGGCCGCGTGCAGCAAATGGGAGGCTTATCCTCAGCGCTCCCTGCTTATCCTCAGCGCTCCCTGCTTATCCTCAGCGCTCCCTGCTTTGGTGCAGACACCAGGAAGGCTGCTGTGGAGTCTCCCAGACTTGGCTCTTCCCGGCAGGAGAAGTCTGGTGGAAGAGGTGACCAGCAGCTCTGAGTCCTTCTCGGGCCACCAGGCGAGCTCGGGCTGCTCCTTCCCCAGTCTCCCTACTCAGCGGAGTCCACCTTCTGCTGGGTCCCTCTGAGAGGTGCCCCAGCCAGAGAGGGGACAGGAGAGCCAAAATCTGCTTTCCCTGGCTCCACCCCTGACCCCGTCACTTCCACTGAGAATGGACGTTTCCTGCATGATCTGCCCTGTGGCCACGAGGGGTCAAGGGAGATCACAGGGAGCCCCACGCGGAGCTGCTTGGGTTCAGAGCATCCCACGCGTGTGGCATCTTCCCAGCGGCCCTGAGGGGTGACCTGGGCAGAGGAGCCTGGCTTGGCACCCGGACCCCAGCCTCCCACGCTATGATGGCAGGAGCATGGTAGGGCTTCCGGGCAGCTTGCGGCCACGAGTCTGTGGCCACCCAGCTCTTTTCCTCTCACAGGTCCATGGGTACAAAGGAGTCAAGTTCCAGAACTGGGCTAGGACCTATGGCTGTTGCCCAGAGATGTACTATCAGCCCACGTCCGTGGAGGAGGTCAGAGAGGTAAGCGCACATTCAGGGCTGGAGACCAGGCCCAGCCCCGGAGAGGAGGCAGGGACTGGGGACCTGCCTGGCTAGGACCACCGCCCCACGCACCTCCCACCCAGAACCTCTGGCCAGGCAGTTCAGGCTCCCTGTTACAACTGACCGGGCCACCACTGGCTGCCAGCATTGCATGAACTTCCAGCTCAGACCTCTCCTCTGGGTGTTCTCCTTGTGTGTCTCAAGGTCATCCCAGACTTCCATGCCCCCAGACTACACTTCCAGTGTTGAGACTCCTTTGTTTTTGATTTCAACCTCTTTTATGCCTGTCTTTGCGTGAGGCACCTGCTTGCTCAAACTGGAAGCCGAGAAATGGGGCACTGTCTTTTCTTTCCCTTATCTGGCAACAGCAAGTCTTTCTCCAGAAGTTTCTGGAATCCATCCCCTTCTCTTCAGCACCACTGCCGCTCTCCATGCCCAGTCCACCCAGTCCCTTCCTCACCCACCATGACATGACCTGGGTGGCCTTGTTCCTGGTCTCCCTGCTTAGATTCTTTCTTCCTTGGAATGTAATTTCCACATCAGTAGATGCGTTTTTGTTTTTAATGTAAATTGATGCGGCTACTCCCCTGCTTAAAGCCCTTGAGAGGCTCCCTATTGTTTGTGGAGTAAAACTGTAACTTAACTCCCAAGGACATGTATCACCTGGCCTTGGTTCACCCTTTGTGCCTAAAACAAACCAAACCTTTTCCTACCTCAGGGCCATTGTATTTGCTGTTCCCACAGCCAGGAATGCTTGTCCCTTCACTCTTCACATGACCACTCCTTTTCATCCTTTAGGTCTCAGGGTAACCTTCAGCTCCTCAGTGGGTTCCCACACCATCTTATCTACAGCACTCCCCAGTGTTCTCTCTGCCCCTTGCTTGTTTCCTTCACAGCATATTTATAATTGCTTGCAATTATTCTGTTTCACAGATGGGTAAACTGAGGCTAATAGAGGCTTTGTTATTTTCCCATATTAATAAGTATCAGAGCCAGGGTTCACACAGGGATTGTCTGATTCAAAGCCTCTACTTTCTCCTGCAGGAAAAGCTACACACAGGAAAAGTGGTTGAGCTGGGCCCAGGAGAATGGATAAAAGCTCCACAGGGGGCTGGGGAAGGGCACTGTGAGCAAAGGAAAGTGAGGAGCATGGCCTGGGGAGGCACTGGACAGGTCAGGGGTGGGGACAGATGTGCCTGGAGGGGAGGAGTGGGCAGAGGGCAGAAGAGGAAGGCTGGGAAAGTGGGAGCAGAGGGCCTTGAATGCCGAGGCAACTGTCTTCCTTCTGAGCTGAGGGAAAAGCTGGACGTATGCTGAGATGGCCATACGCCAAGGCCTCCTTCAGCTGTACTAGCCTACACAATTGTGAATTCCTAGCAAGCTGAGGCCACTGTGGGCTGATGTCTCCCCGGAGGGCTAATAGGGTCCTAAAACTAGGTTGTATGGTCAGGAGGCTTACAGAACATGATGTTAAACAGATTTCTTTGTTGGAGAGCCTGTAGTCTTAAACGTGTCGCAAGCATCCTTGGTGGAGGAAGGAGCCAGTGAAGACAGAGCACTTCCCAGTCTCACTTGCTCACGGAACCCCTGTGGTACCCATTGTCAAACCAGTGTTCCATGGACCAGATGTGAGGGTTTTGAGCTGGGACCCAAGGGTGAAAGGGAATGCATTCATTTGAGCAATACCATGCATTGATATATTTATACATTCAGTGATCACCAGAGACTAGTGGGGCTGGATGTGGCACGGACACAGGCAGGTACCAAGTCAAATCAAGCCACTGTCCGCCCCAGGGGCCTTCATTCCAGCTCAGGAGGCTGCCGAACCCAAGTAGGCCAAGATGAGGAGCCTGTGGCATTCAGGTGCCCTTGAAAGGTTTTGTGCTGGGGAAGAATGCCATCAGGTGTACCCGGAAGAGCCCCCAGCCTTTGCGGGGAGAGCGCACGAGGACCCCAACCTAGGCTGAGTCCTAAGTTTTCCATCCAGCCTACTTCCTGGTCCTGCACTCTGGCTCCCTTTCCCTGAGAGGAGTGCACAGCGGCCTTCAGCCAGGCAGGGGCCTTGGAGGCCCGGGGGGTGAAAAGCCTGGGCGGCCCATCCCGCTGCGGCCCCGCCAGGTCTCAGCTGCCTGAGGGAGAAGGGCAGGAGCTGGGGCTGACTCGGGCATCCTCTTGCCAGGTGCTGGCCCTCGCCAGGCAGCAGAACAAGCGGGTGAAGGTGGTGGGTGGTGGCCACTCGCCGTCAGACATCGCCTGCACTGATGGCTTCATGATCCACATGGGCAAGATGAACCGGCTTCTCCAGGTACTCAGAGACCTCGGCTCCCCACCTCTGCTGGCCCGCAGCCTCAGTCTGCACCCCAGCCCCAGGAAACGCCTCAGCTTTTGCCATCAGGCCTGATCCCCTCCCTGCCCCGAATCCAAAGTGACACCCCACTTCCTAACTGCCCGTGATCACCCCTCCGCAGAGCCCTCCGTGGGCCGCCTCAGGCCTCTTGTCAGGTGTGCGCGCGCCTCCTTGTGGCCACAGGGAGGATGTTCACCCCGTTCCGCCAGGGCCTCCTCTCTGCTTTTCTGTAACAACAGCAAGTCAGACCCTACCGAGATGCACTCGAAGTGACAAATCCGGAAGGACTGATGCTTAACTCGTTTTACATATGGGGAAACAAGATCTGAGAGGGTGAGCGACTTGCCTAGGGTTGCACAGCCAATCACAGAGCTGGGTACAAACTCAGGAGTCGGACACCAGCACTGTGCTGAGATACCGTCTGTGCAGTTCAGCCAGCACTTGGGGAGCGCCCCACCCAGGCCTCCTGGACACCTGCCAGGGCGAAGAGGCCAGACAAGTGCCTGAGAATAGGAAAGCTCCTATTCTCCCCTGCCAGGGCCCGCTGCCCCGAGCTGTAGTTTTTGCCAAGTAACCTCCTCTCCACCCAGCCCTGCTAGCAGAGGTTCTGAATTCCTATTATTTCCTTTTTTGTTCAGGCTGACAGTCTCCACGCTGGTCAAGATGTCAGTCATGGCAGTGATTAACTCTGATTGCTAATTAGTGAGGACTGGGCTCCAACAATTGATTTTGCCCGGCTCTGTGCTCAGGGTCGGTGCAATGAGCTTGTGCTCTGGAGTCACACAGATGTGAATTCTCCCCTCAGTTCCACCGCACCCCCATGCTCGCGTGACCTTCAGGGAGTGACTTTAAGTCCCTGAACTTGGGGCTCCTCCCTGTGAAAGAAGAGACTCTGCTCTAACCTCCCAGCGTTGCCAGGAATCTTTTAGTGCCCTCCTCGCCCATGGCAGGAACCTCCCGCCCCCTGCCAGTTCCCAGTCTTTGCCTCAGACCTTCTGCAGGTGAGAGTAAGTGGAGAATTTGGACTCCATCTAGCAACTCAAGCCCCCTTCAGGGTTAGACCCTCCCTAGTAGGTGACTCTGCACGGCTCTATGGGAATCCCACCGTCCTGGTCTGGGGGGTGCGGTGAGATCAGGAGAAAGCACAGTGGCAATTAGGAGACCTGAACTCTAACCCAGTTCTGCCAGTGACCTTGAGCGAACCCCTTCTCTTCCTTGCTCATCAATTCCTTCCCCTGCAAGAAGAAGGGGTTCCACGGAATACAGCAGCCCCCGCTTACCTACAGTTTTGCTCTCTGTGGTTTCAGTAACACACTGTAAACTGCCATTGGAAAGCAGATGATTGGAAGGGCATAGAAGGACAGAAGGACATATCATCAGAAGGTCAACAGTAGCCTAATCCTATGTCAGAGTTCCTACATCCTTCACCGCACTTCTTCCCATCACATGGGCATTTTACCTTCTCACATCCTTACAGGACGAGAAAGGCTGCGCACAGTATGATAAGATACCTTAAGAGAGACTGCAGTCCCGTAACCTTCATTACAGTATATTGTTACAATTGTCCTATTTTATTTTTAGTTACGGTTGTTATTCTCTGACTGTGCATAATTTACAAATTAAACTTTATCATAAGTGTGTGTATGTAGGGAAAAACATGGTCTATGTAAAGGTCAGTGTTATCTGCATTTTTAGGCATCCACTGGGGGTCTTGGAAAGCATCCCCTGTAGATAAGGGGGATGACGGTATTCCCAGAACTCCAGCAAATCCAGAGCTCTGCCTATCCTCCCTTTGGTTGCCTGCAGCAAGTGGTGGCTCGAGCTGACCACAGGCTGGGACAGATACATTCTTATTCGTGGGGCAGTGGTTGCCGGGTGGGGGCTGGGTGAGAGCCTAGCTGACCCCAGCCCATGTTGGTCTCTTGCAGGTGGACACAGAGAAGAGGCAGGTGACTGTGGAGGCTGGCATCCTCCTGGCTGACCTGCACCCACAGCTGGGCAAGCATGGCCTGGCCTTGTCCAAGTAAGAGCCACTTCTCTCATTCCTGGTGGGCCAACGCTGCCCTCCACCCCTTGCCTGCGGTCTCGGCCGGACACTCAAGGATCTGGCAGGAGAGAGAGAAACACTTCCCAGGGCACACCCCCTTTCTCTGGACCCTGTTCTTTCCTTTGTGGGGTACCTGTCTCCCATCCCCCATGAGTTCAGGGACTGTCGTGTGAGAATACAAAGAAACAGGTCAGAGACGGGCTGAGCATTAAGGAAGAGTCTTGTAAAGGGGTTGGAAAACTATGGATTAAATTTTTCTTAAAACTTGCAATAGACAATTGTAGGGACCCAGACAGAAGGGTATGCCAAGTAAGTGCAGAGGAACTGAAGGACCTGCTGCCTGAGCCACAGGACTTTGGGGCATCCTTACCTATGGGTGTACTCACCTCCCTAGCCAAACGTGTCAGTCATCGCCTGGATTTAGTATCGGGGGATTTCCACTGAAACAGGTGTCAGATATAGCCAAAGGATTGAATGTCTAACTGTGGAATTTCAACCATTGGATAAAGATGACAGGTGTTTTGGATAGTGGGGTAGCAATCCCTTTGCAGCTGGAAACTGCACTCACGGAAGCCTGTTGTTTGTTTTTAAGCATGGGTGGTCCATTTGCCTGAGCTCTCTTACCACAGGCCTGGAGCACTGCTACATCTTTTTACTCTGGAAATCGTCTGTTCTGTTCCTGCTTCTCCAAACATCATGGCAACTCAAACATTTATGAGGTGTCTACTATGTGTAGGTCTTGTTCAGGCCCTTAAGAGGCAAAGATGAGTAACACCCAAGGAACTCCTGTCAAGGGACAGACCAACACCCAAAATGATAAGCATAATGCAAGACAGTGGGTTCAAGTCAGAGAAGTGTCTGGGGGCACTGTGGGGCTCTCAGCCTTGGCAGGCAGAGGAACATATGAGGGGATAGGAATCAGGGGGCCTGCAGAAGGGGCCCCTGGACTGAGTCCTAAAAGGTAACCAGGTATAAATCAGAAAAAAGAGGAAAGAGGGGATTTAGGCAGAGAAAACAGCACAAGCAAAAGTCCTGGATGGCGGCAGGGGGGGGTGGGGGGCACACAGGCGCCCTGAGCAGATAGTGGGACAGAATCTGTGACCAGTGATGACAGGAGGAGACATGTTCTAGTCATGATGGGCATTAGCTTCTGGACTCTGAGGCTTGTTCATGGTCTGTCTCTCTTCCCATCCGGGGACCCAATCTTCCTCAAGTGGATGCCTGCCTGGGGCCCTTCTGCCACTCAGAGAGAGTCAGGAGTCTTACCCTGTGTATCGCACAGGAGCCTGGGTAGACAGCTCTAAGGATGCTGTGGGGACTCCAGGAGTATCTGGCTGGGGGGCTGAAGAAAAGAACAGAGCTGAGTCAGACCCTACGCTGGGTGCTTGACAGGTGAGGAATAGAAGCCTAGTTCCAGAGGAAGAAACCAGGGTCTGAGGCTAAGTGGCTTACCGAAGTCACATATCTGGAAAATTCTGGAATATTCCCCCATGTGGTGGACTGGAGGAGGCATGACAGCAACTTGGTGTAGACCCCAGCTTCAGAAGCAGAGGGCCTGGGTACAATTGTTGCTGTTCCCTGTCTGTCAAGCTCCTTGACCCGTCTGGGCCTCAGGCATAGAAAATGGGTCTGAAAACAGAGCTCTCAGAGACCTGGATGAGTTAAAGATCGGCTCAGTAAAATCTGTGCTCACTGACCTGGCTCTGCCGGTGCCTCGCTCCGCAGGTTCTGAGATGATCTTTCCTCTGGCCGTGTGCTCTCCAGCCTCTCGGAGGCTAGTCTGACCCTTCCTTCCTTGACCCTTCTCCCTCAGGGCCTCACTGTAATCCAGTTTACTTCTTTGAACACAGTGGTCACAGGCCCATTTCTATATCGCTTTTTAGTCTGGTAGGCTACGTGGAGAAGAGGGGACACATTGAATTCCATGAACCACCCCTTTGTGGGCACTGAGGTCCTTCTCAGGTGGTCACGATTCTACATAAGGCTGCGATGAACGTCTTTGTGCTATGCCTTTCCTCACGTTGGAGGATTTCCTGAGAGCAGGATTCCATGATCCTCTTTCAACATTCTGGTATTTTCCGGATGCCTAGGTGGCTAAGTCTGTTAAGAGTCTACCTTTGGCTCAGGTCACAATCTCAGGGTCCTGGGATTTACTCCCGTATCAAGCTCTCAGCTCAGCGAGGAGTCTGCTTCTCTCTCGGCCTCTGACCCTCCCCCACTGCCCCCTATTCCTACTCTGTCTCTCTCTCTCAGATAAGTAAATAGAATCTTTATTTTAAAAAAAAAATCCATTTCTGGTATTTTCAGAAGTAAACCAACTCATGTGGACAGAGAGACAAGACTAGAACAAACGTGGTAATGGGGGTTGAGTAAGGGGAGGCTGGAGAGGCTTGGGTTTCTTTGTCCTCTCCCCGTTCTGCCAGGACGGCCCCCCCAGGTCTCACCGCCTCTATAGGAAGGTCTGAGGCTGGCCTTCCTAATCACTGCCTTCACTGAAGGTGTCCTGCAGTGCCTCTGGGAGTCAGGGACCACCTGCCCACCTGCCTCAGAGACCCTTGGTGTGTGCCCGGGTGCATGAGGTGGTGGGCACATGGCTTCAGCCGCTGAGCCCATTTCTCACGTGGGCTGCGCTGTCGTGGTGATGCTGGGTAGCACACACTGCTCCCCGACGCAGCGGCACCCAGGGGCCTTTAGTAAAATAAACACTGGTTTCCTTCTCCTTTAAGCTGCAGCTGGGATGTCTCAGAGGACGCTCCTAAGAAGTAGGATTTTTGAGCACACTTTCCCTGAGTTCTGGGCACATCTTTCTAATTCCTGCTCCCAGAGAGTGCCTCTAGAGGGCTCCTGCTCCCCCTCAGGACTCCGTTCCCCGGGTTCACACGCAGTGCTGTCAGTGTTCCTTCCAGGGCCAGGGACTCTGGGCTGAGACCTGGGCTCGTCCTGGGGGCCGCAAAGGGTGACCAGCTCCTCCTCCTCCTCTCCTGTGGGTTCAGAGAAGCTCCTGCCTCCTCATACCTTCCTGGGACACCTGTGTGAGCCGTTCGAACCAGGTCACTCCCTCAGGGACTCCGCAGGCCTTGACAGGCTGGGGCTAGAGCTGTTCGCAGGAGCGTTTGGGCCTTCACTTTGTGGAGAAGATACTGTTGGCAGATGGGGCCCGTGGAAAGGGATGGTCCCACACTGCAGAAACCCCGGAGCTGGGCAGCCAGGCCACCTCAGAGCTGGACCATGCCCCCACCAGCTTAACTGACAGGCCCCTGAGACAAGGAGGCAGAGGCTCAGAGAAGGGAAGGGCCACCAAGTCAGACAAACTAAGTCACGGTACATATGGAGCCAGAGCCTAGACAAGAGATGAATTTATTATTCTGTGAGGGGCCTCGTCCTGCAGCCCAGGGGAGGGAGAGGGTATGGTCCCAGGGAAGCCTAACCACCAGTCCCTTGTGTCCCTTTCACTCCCTCCTGTTGAGCTCAGCCTGGGAGCTGTGTCAGATGTGACCGCAGGGGGCGTCATTGGGTCTGGAACGCACAACACTGGGATCAAACACGGCATCCTGGCCACCCAGGTGAGTCCCCCCACTTGGCTGCTCCAGTGACTACCACTGATGGCCATGGGGTGGGGGATGGGATGAACACCTCTTCCAGGCAGCCCCAGGAAATCAGGGGCTCTGTGGGCAGTGTCGGCTCAGCTCCACGTGGGTCTCAGCCAGCCCAGCTCCCTCCCTCTGGCAGGTGCCCTCCACCCACTCTCTCTCCTTTAAGCCTCGTTTGTCTGCAGTAGACACGAGTGATGAGACACCCCTGCCTCTCAGGAGTGTCCGGGCCACCCTGTGGAAAAGGGCAAGTAGGGCGAGAGCTTCCATCCCCTCTGAGCCAGACAGAGCAAGAGATCTTCCGAGGTTAGCAAGGGAGGGGAGGGGCCAGGACCGGAGCGGGGGCCACCTGGAGTGGAGTCCAGCAGGTGTGGTCCCAGATCTGCCCCTGATCACCATTGAAAAGCATTTCTTAAACTTCAGGAGAGACCAGTCTGGGGAACTGGTTACCAACCAGACTCGGGACTTAGATCTGGGTTCAAAAGCTGCCTCCCACATACAGGAGGCATGCGCCTCTAGGCAACTTCTTTAAATTCTCCGGACCGCCGTGTTTTCTTCTGTAATTCAGAAAGAAGCCAGGAGGACCAAAGGAGGTAGCTTATGTTACCTACGTGGCTGAGCCGAGGGCAATGTGTGATTTCTGTGTTGGGAGCTGCCTGTTACAGGGGTTTCCTGACAGGCCTGGCTGTGCACCCGGGTAGGCCGGCCGCTCACTGTCGGGGCCAGGACAGATCGCTATCTCTACCTCTGGCCTCCTTGGTTTGCTCACCTGGAAAATGGGGGTGGTCACAACTGCAGTGCATCCGGGGTACTTAAAAGAGCGTACACAGTTAGTGCTCAATAAACTTTCATGATGGGTTTTGCTTGTAAGACAGGGGCCTTTCTGAAGCTCCCACTCTGTGCTGTAAAAGCAATTTCAGGATGGCTGGGGATTGGACCACAGGGGTCACTTAAGTGACCCCTAGTCAACTACCCAGGTGTGTGGCTCTCTCCTGAGGTAAGCAGATGCCCCAGCAAGCATTGTCTCCATGTGACTTCTGGGGACTGGATCCCATTTGCTCTGGTCTCAGAGCAGCTCTGAGACCAAAGGAAAACAGCCCAAAAGCAATTTCTAAGAGATTCTTTTTTTTTTTTTTAATATATATTTGTTTTCTTGTATACCACATGGGAAACCTAGTTCACACTTGGCCTTAAAACTTTGCTTTCTCATCAGCATCGTGCACAGACTCTGGTTGCTCTTGTCCTTCTCCCTTCCCTCTTTCTACCACAAAGCCCCACAGAATCCCCAGGCAGGTAAAGGGTGTCCTGGCGTGAGCCAAGAAAGGGGAAACCAACCAAGGGCACCTGTGTTCATCGCGCTCGGCCTCTCGCACAGGCAAGAGCTGTCGCAGCAAAGCATGCTAGTCTTTGTGGGACCCGATCCTCTGGCACTCGGAGCCCTCTGTGGACATTCCACGACCCTCTCCAAGCTCGGGGGGGAATGTTCAGCAGAGTATGAAATAATTCTGGGTGACCACAAATCAAAATGCGCAGATTTCCTACCCCCTTTTCTTAGGGAGCTCAGCTGGAAAGGAGTGGGAGAGGCCTACTGTTTTATATTATGCCAAGGGCCAGGAATGAGGGGAGGGGATTCACATTTCAGCGTCCACTGTACAGCGGACACTCAGCTGGATATGGCACACACTGTCTCTGAGACAGTTACTGTCCTCATTTTGCAGATGAGGAAACAGAGAGGTTGGATAACATGCCCAAGGTCACACAGCTAGTAAAGAAGTGCCTACCTTTATCTGTGGCTGGACCCTGCCGAGGGGTTTCACTGGCCAGTTCTTACTCACAGCTCTGGATCATGGACAAAATCTGGTTTCTACAAAAATGATTCTGATGCCCTCACTCCTACAGATGGCCATCATGCCCCATTTCTGCCAATTTCTCCCCTCTGGAATTGGTCGCTGTTAATGGGAATTAGTTCGGCTTTGTCCGTTCTCTCACCCCGAGCCCCCAGCCACCAACTACACATGTCAAAAGCAATTTCCATCCGAATTAGCAGGTGGCAGGGTGTGGAGAAGTACTTAAACTGGTGAGAAAAGAGGATTCCTCTGGAAATGGGCACCTGGGGTAAGAGCACGGGGGCTGATGCTGCTGGACAGAGCCTCCGGTTCCCCATTGCCCTGTGGCCAGGTGGCATTGATTTTCCAGGGATAGACACCTCCCCTCCTGGCTTCCCAGGACATACAGGGCAGGGAAGGCCTCAGCTGGGGTCTAAGGGAAATACCACCGGGGTTCTGAAGCACCGCTCTCCACGACTAGGTGGTGGCGCTGACCCTGCTGACGGCCGACGGGACCATTCTGGAGTGCTCCGAGTCCAGCAACACAGAGGTGTTCCAGGCGGCGCGGGTGCACCTGGGCTGCCTGGGAGTGATCCTCACCGTCACCCTGCAGTGTGTGCCCCAGTTCTACTTGCAGGAGGTCTCCTTCCCTTCCACCCTGGAAGAGGTACTGGCATCTTCCTCGCCCCTGCTCAACCTCAGAAAATAAAAGGAGGATGCTGATGGGTAGGTCATGCTCCACTGACGGCCCCGGGGGGCTCTGCAGGCCCCCTGAATAAGGGAGTGGGCTGACCTTTCTAGCTCTTCCTTGCCCCAAGGATACTGTGGCCATGTCCCTTTCTGAGCAGGTCAGTGAAGCTCAGAGGAACTGCCTGGGGTTGGCAGACATCTGGGTGAGAAGGGAGGTTGGGTGCTCTGGGAAGGCATTAACTCTCGACTGCACTGAGCTGTAGCAGGTGCCCAGAATTCCCTTTACAATGGCTTCTTCACAGCCAAGTGGGTAGGCTAACTTTGCATTGGGCTGGCTGCCCAAGGTAACACACAAGGAATGTGGATCTAGATGATGGAGGGTGGAAAGGATGACTTCTGACTAATAGTGATGTTTTGGGAATGAACGAAAAGCATGTTGCCTGGCTGGCTGACTGGAGAGATGGATCGATGCATGGATGGATGGATGGATGGATGGATGGACAGCTGGGTGCATGGATTAATAGTTGCAGAGACATACGGGTAGATATGTGGATGGATGGATGGATGGATGGATGGATGGATGGATGGATGGATGGATAATTGGTTTCAGGAATACACAGATGCACGGATGGACTCATGGATGGATGGGTAGCAGGCAGCAGCCCTGAAATTCCTGGTAATCACTAAGTCTATGGGAGTCAAATCTATGGTTCCAAGGTCCTTGGTCTTTGAGCGCTTCCGTGGTCACCTCATCATTCAATATGAGTAGACCCTCTGCACAGTTGAAATGAAATAGTGAATGATGTAAGCATTACTGACCCAACATGGGTAAGGTGGGATTGGCTATCCAGTTGACCTGGCCTTGAATGCTGGCTCTGCCACTTCTAAGCTGTGACCTTGAGCCTGTCATTTAAACTTATTAAGCCCTAGTTTCCTCATCCAAAAAAAGTTGATAATATCTACCTTAAAGTATTGAATCTGAGGATTATATCAGGTAACACACATAAATTATCTAATTCAGTATTAAAATATGTCCGCAGTGGCACCTAGTCAGTGATGAAGAATACAGTTATTTAGAACCAGGTCTAAAATCCTTACCTCAGAATTTTTAATGCATGAAGCCACAGGGCAAAGCCCTACATTCAGAAGGCCCCCTTACTCAAAGGTATGGTGTTTGGTGGAAATAGATCCCCAGATCTCCCAGTTGGTGGTAAGAAAGGGATTGCACAGCTATGATGGGAGGCGGCGTTGATCCCTGGAGTACCAGTACTGAGTCTGATGGGAAAATAATTGGCAAATGAACTGCCTGAGCCTTGGCCCAAGAAAGTAGGACTATTTTATGGAACTATTTGGCAGGCACAAGGCGTGGCTAAGCCAGGGAGGCTCACAAGGGTGTGGCTGGAACCAGCCCAGACTCGGAGTCCTTTGGGGCCACCTAGGCCTGGCTCAGCCAGCTACAATCTTCCCCACCAGTGCTAGAGGGCGAGTCTAGACCCCTGTTCACCCCAAGTGGGGTTCAGAAAGCATCTTACATTCTGTTCAGTGCCAGGCGTGTTGACTGAGGCCTCCTGTGGGGTCAGCATTTGAAACTCTAGGGTAATTCCTGAGACCACAGAATAACCTTCCAACCACTTGCTGCAAGGATCGATTTTCCCTTTAGCCCTCGTGCCTCTAGAATTCTCAGGCTTTCCCTTCTCTACTTCTTACGGGGGTGACCCCTCCATCCTGGTCATGGGGCAAGATGTGGCAGGGACCCCCACTGAGATACAACCCATGCCTTCCTCTCAGGCTTTAGCTGGGAAACCTGGGTATCCCCTTCTTCTCCTCAACAAACCAATAGACTAAGCAACCGGCTCTGGGACTTGACACTGGAGACCGTAACCAGTGCAGATGGCCCAGCCAGGAGCCAAGGAAATAGTTCATAACAACCGCCAAGTCCCAAGGGAGCCTGGCAGAGAACGCTCTGACCAGAGTCAGAGCTGGGAGGGAGATGTGGGAGAGAATGAGGTACAGTGGGCATAGACTGGAGAGGTACTCAAGGGGCTGAAATACGGAGCCAAGCCCACTTTTTTTAGGGCACAAGTTCAAGAGATACTGGAGATGAGGAACCAGTAGGACTTGGCAGCTGAGTATGGAGTCGAGGGAGTCAGAAGCGGGAGGCAGGAAGAGCGCTCCCATGGAGGTGGAGAATCCAGGAGGCACAGCAGGTGTGGGGAGCGAGATGATGAGTTTAGCCTGGGAACTCGGGTTTGAGGTGCCTCACGTGGAGGTATTGGAAGGCAGCTGGTACTGGAACTCGGGCAGGAGGCAGAGGCTGAGGGTAGAGATTGAGGGGTTGTGTTAGTCTGCTGGGGCTGTGGTAACAACTAGCATGGACGGGACCAAGATGTCTACAGGGTTGGTTCCTCGTGAGCACTCTCCCCTTGGCTTCTAGACGGCTGTCTTCTTGCATGTCCTCACATGGTATCCTGTCTGTGTGTATCTGTGTCGTACTCTCTTCTTACAAGGGCGTTAGTCATGTTGGACTGGGGCCCACCCAATGACCTCATTTAACCTTAATTGCTTCTTTAAAGTCCCTGTCTCCAAATACAGTCCTATTACGAGGTCCTGGGGGTTAGGATTTTGATATATGAATGTGGAATGGATACAGTTCAGGCCAAAGTAGGGGTCGTCCACCACCTAGGTGGTCACAGGATAGGCAAGATCACCCAGAGAGGGTGGGTTTGGGTGTGAAGGGAGTGGATAAGAAGATGGGAAGGGTGTCAAGAAGGAGGCCAGGGAGAATGGGTTATAGAGGAATGAAGCCAATGAGGAGAGGTTGGCCACAAGGGCAAGGGATGCCAGGAGTCTGGGACGGAGCTGGCAACGGGGTGCAGTTCCATGGGGAATTGGAGTGTTAACCGGTGTGGTCATGAGGAGGTTGTAGCTGACCTTGGAGATGGTTTCAGTGGAGCACAGGGCAGGTTAAGGGACGGAAGTGCAGCACAGACCACTTTCAGGCAAGAAGGGGTTGTCATGTGCTTGATAGTTGAATCTATTTTCCTGCCTCTCACATAGGTCACCGCTTGTTACTTTAAGCTGAAGGTTTTGACCTGGAGATTTTTTAAAAATGGCTGCTTTTTGCCAGTAGGACCAGCCCCCCGGTTCCTGCTAGGATATTATAGCTGAGTGGATGGACAGTCTCCTGGTACCTCGTCTGTTCTCTTTCTGCTCCTCCCCTGACCCAGCTGAGATTGACTAAGAGTAATTATAGCCAAGTCCTGATTCTAGGGGAGCCTGAGCTCAGGCCTCTACTGTACCCCAGCACACTCACACATGTGTGTGCACGTGCGCGCGTGCGCACACTCACACATGTGTGTGCACGTGCGCGCGTGCGCACACACACACACACACACACACACACACACACACACACACACAGGCTGGCCTCTGTGTCTATCCAGAGCTCAAGGATTTTTTTGCCTCCAACTTACCTCAACGTGGAGACTTCTAACTTAGACATGACATCCTCAAAAATTCTAAGTGACTCTAGGCAATGGGCTATGTTCTCATAGCTTCCAACTTCTTTAGTTTTCTTTAAAAAAGATTTTATTTATTTATTTGACAGAAAGAGCACAAACAGGGAGAGTGGCAGGCAGAGGGGGAGGGAGAAGTAGGCTCCCTGCTGAGCACAGAGCCTGATGTGGAGCTCGAACCCATGACCCGAGCCGAAGGCAGACGCTTAGAACTGACTGAGCCACCCAGGCGCCCCCTGACTTCTTTGATTTTGAAAGGTTGTGATGACACATGAGAAATAGCAGTGGAGATCTCCTCTCCTAAAAAACAAAGTAGCCACCCCGCCACACAATCACACGCCAATAAACACTCAACAGGATGTAATGAAAGGTCTCCAGGGAGGGACGCAGAGCCCCCCGAGTCTGGCCCTCATTGAGCAAATCCCTCACATTTGGGCTCCCCAGTTTCTTTACCTTTCAAAAGCAGGGTCAGAGCAGATGGCCCCTAAGAGCTTTCTCAGCTCCGACATTCTGTCAGAGCAGCACTGGGGTTTGAAGCTGTCCCCTCACCTGCTTGCCACACCCTGGAGGCAAGAGTCCCCTCTGGCCTTACTGTTTCTCTCCTTTGGAACATCTGGTGAAGTGCCTGGACCCTGCCCCTGAGGAGAGGCACGAGCCCTATAAGGAACATTCCCCCACAGCTCCCACATAGACCCCAGCTCACCTCAAGGGGGCTCATGGAGTAGGAGTCTGTGAGACAGCAAGCACTCTGTGGATCTCCCCCTTTCTGTGAGCCAGTGACTGCTGCTCTCCCCCACCACTGATGCAGAGCTGGCCTTCCTCCCTGAGAGGCCCTCATCAGCTTCTGTGGAACCCTCCCACGGCCCTCCCCACACTCGCACAGGCAGAAACAAGGACTGCCGCAGAAGGTCAGCAGCATCTGCAGCCCTGTGATTTATTCCAAGGGGGCTGTGCAATAGATGACCCCATATTTAATTTGCTTTTGCTGTCTCCACTCAAATCAACCTTTAAGGGCATCTTCGAGACGCTTTGAATGCTTAGGAAAAGGAGCTAAGTGGATATGGAAAGCCACAAACACAGACCTTTCTCCCCTCAAAGGAAACAAACCCATGGAAGCAGAGGGAAGGATCAGAAAATGGTCATTAGAACAACTTCTCCCCCTTGCTCAGCCTGGGATGTTTTCCTTCTCATCTTAAAGGAAAACTAACCTCGTGAACTTAACCTTCACGAGGCCTGCATTTTTGAGAACCAACAGGAAGACAGGGCACCCTCCTGTTCTGGCATTGGTAGCTACTCCTTGTTTTGGGCCATTTAGGTTGCCAGGAAACTCCCACCTCCGTGTGGGTGGCAAGCTGCTGCTCTGTGTTGGCGGCTCCAAGATGTGCGCAGCTCCACAGCGCATGTCCTCTCTGACCACGGGCTTGTCCCTGATGGCCAAGCCCTCCAGGTTGACTCGTCCTGGGCTACAGGAGGAGCATTTGAGCAGTAGGAGGACAGGAAACCAGGACGAAGGAGAATGACAGTCGCTTCTTGCACATAAAGTTAAGTTTGAACACTAGCTGCTCCGCCATTTTTCCTTCCCTTATTATGTCTTTCCTTCCCTTTTCTCCTCTTTCCTGCCTTCCACCCAGCACGTGTCTATAAAATACCTACCGTGGGTCTTCTAGCCTTGAACTTTGGAAGAGCCCAAATAGACCCATCATGAGGGGTGTGGTGAAGAGCTTGGAAATATCTCTCCAAGTCAGACTACCAGGTTTGAAGCCCCATGTCTTTGCTGACACTGTGTGAGTCTAGAGGAGTCTCTAGAGCTCCACTATTCCTGTGAGATGTTGTCAGGACTCAAGGAAACACAACAGGCGAACCCTCTGCCCTTTTCTTTAGAGCCTCAGAGAGAGGAACCCCCAGTGCCTCCTCTCTCTGACTTTACTCACAGAGAATATTGCTAGAAACATCTGCTGTGTGTGGATCCCAAAATCCAAGTCAAAAGCTGTACTTTCCAGGCTAGGGGTGCTGGTCACCCGTTTTGCTACTGGACATTGTCACCACTTCTTGAAATGTTCCCCCTTCCCTTTGGCTGCTTGGTGACTTGTTTCTGGAGGCAGGGTTTTTATCTGAGGCTTCTTACTCCCCAGCACCCACAAAATACAAGGCAATGCTCAATGCAAGGTAATTCAATGTCAATTGATCAGCAGTTTATTAAAAATCCATCCTTCCTGGGATTTTCCTCATCTGCTCCCATCTTCAGAAGGCATGAAGATCTTAGAAATTGTTGTCAACCTTTTTGCCCTTTATGCCACCCAAAGCATAATGAGATGTGATGATGACAGCTGGCTGCCTCGTCACAGCTCCTGTAGGGCCCCAGGAAGCAGAATTGGTTTTAGTGTGTCACCAACCTGTCCAGATGCCAGCCACTTTGCTGAGGCTGAGTAACCCACCACCCCAACACACACCCATCAACTTGGAGCCCTCTGCTCCCAAGCCTGATAGCCAGTTCTCAAAAGCCAGCTCAGCAGTGCCACAACATCAAAATCTGGGGGGGACAGAATCTGCTAGAACCCTTCATGCCTGTAATGTGCCAAGGGAGAGATTCCTCTGGGACCCAAATTGTTGTGGTAGTGCTCCCAGGAGACCCAAGTCAGATCAAGGAAGTCCATGATCCTAGGGACCATCTTCCTCCAGATAGGATGGTTTGTGGGTCCTGAAGGAGAGACTTTAATTTACAGTGTGTGTGTGTTTGGCAGGGGCGGGGGTGTCACTGTTCCACCACCATTCAGCAGCCTCTTGGTGCTCAGTTGGGGGCCATGGAGAGTCCAGAGCTTCATTATGCATGGTTCATGCCTCTAGAAGCTTATAATTGTGTGTTGGGCTGGGGAATATACGCCTTGTTTCTCTCATGCAAGGAGGAAAACAAATGGCCGGTGTCAGGAGAGAGGCACAAAATGGAATGAGGGGCCTGAATCTCATCACTCCATTCTGTGTAGGAAGCTGGATTCCAGCACCAGAGCTGAGAAGGGCGTCATTATTACATACACAGTTGGGATTCTGGGCAATAGAGGTGGATAGCCTGGGATGCCAACAAGGAGGAGATGAGGTGGTTTTCTCCTGCCCAGTGTCCCAGCCCCATCCTCCAGGCCAAGCCAACAGGCTGTGTTCCTGGCTCTCCCAGGGGAAAAATTAGCTCTGCACAGAGGCTCCCCACATGAATCCTGTGGACCATGGGTTCATCACCCTATCAGGATGGAAGTGATAGAGACAGGTGCCCTGGGATTTCATCCTGAACTTCTCCTGGGCCTTCAGCACAGCAGGAAAGTCCTTCCTCTTCCAATAAGGAGTGATAGGGTACTCCAGCATTTTTTGTGCAAGGCATTGTGCCAGCAGCTCTAAGGCAAGGGGTTGAGAAGGCACAGCCTGCAGGCAAAATCTGTCTCACTGCCTGCTTTTGTAAATAAACTTCTATTGGCACACAACCACGCCCATTGTCAATGTATTGTCTGTAATGGCTTTCACACTACCACAGCAGAGTTCAGTAGTTGCAACAGAGACCATATGGCCCCCAAAGCCTGAAATATGTCCTATCTGGTTCTTTACAAAAATTGTACTTATCTGTGCTCTAGCAGGGGGAATCAAAGCTGGGTGAAACAGTCCCTGACCTGGAAGAGAATGCTGCCCAGTTTCAGAGAGAGAGGGATGCTTCAGTAACGACAATCTAGTTCTGAGATGAATGCAGTGTATGTAGGAGCCACTTAGCATGGCAGGAGATGGCTTTATGAGGAGCATTTGAATCATATACATCTCATTCAGATACGTCACTTTTCAGGGTTCAATGGCCACGTGGGGCCAGTGGCCATTGTATCAGGCAGTGTTTGTGGACGGAGATCATGGGGGCTGAACAAAGTTTTGTGGGCTTTTTCTGTAGGAAATAGAGAGCTGCTGGGGATTTCTGAGCTGTGCTTTGTATGTTCTCTGTAGATGTTGTCTGGAGAGATGAGAAAGGGGGGCTAGTATGAGGCCGTGCAAGAGGATGGGTGACAGGGGCGCCTGGGTGGCTCAGTGGGTTAAGCCTCTGCCTTCGGCTCAGGTCATGATCTCAGGGTCCTGGGATCGAGCCCCGCATCAGGCTCTCTGCTTAGCAGGGAGCCTGCTTCCCCCTCTCTATCTGCCTGCCTCTCTGCCTACTTGTGATCTCTCTCTCTGTCAAATAAATAAAATCTTAAAAAAAGAAAAAAGAGTATGGGTGATAGCTAAGAAGGGCGTGGACTACATCACAGCAGCAGCAGTGGGTCACAGGAGAAGGCTAGGGAGACATTTGCAGAAATACAACAAGGGACCAACAGATTGAAGCCAGGGTGGGGTGGGGGTGGGGATGACAGCCACATCACTTGAATGCAGCAATCATCCAACCCATCCTTGTCTCTCTGGCTGTACCACGCACTGGCTAGCAAATCTGGGGGTCTCCTTGACAATCATGACAAAGAGCCAGAATTCTAAAGCTCCACTGCTCTCAGACACTCCAAACTCAAGTTCTAGATGGGTTCATCTCAGTGCTTCATCTTGACTTCACCTTCCTTCCTGATCAGATGTGGCCATCCTTCCTCAAGCTCACCAACCTCTTTAGACACTGGATTGACCCATGATTGGATCCAGTCATTTGTCTATGTTGGGTACCAAATTCCCCACAATGTGTTTGGGCAGTAAGCTTTTTTTTTTTCCCTGTTTTTCCTGACAATCTGTCCTCCCTCTCTCACGTGTTGAGTTTACAGCTTATAAAGTATTTTTATTTTTTAAAAGATTTTATGTATTTATTTGTCAGAGAGAGAGAGAGGGAACAACAGAGCAAGCGCAAACAGGGAGAACAGCAGGAAGAGGAAGAAGCAGGCTCCCTGCAGAGCAGGGAGCCTGATGGGGAACTCCATCTCAGGACCCTGGAATTATGACCTGAGCCGAAGGAAGACATTTCACGACTGAGCCACCCAGGCGTCCCTATAAAATACTTTTAAATCCATGATCTCCCCTGATCCTCACAACAGCCCTAGAAGGAAGGAAGGAAAGATATCACTGTCATCATTCTACAGATGGAGAGATGCTACCCAGAGCACTCAGAGGGCTTTCTGGAAGTCCCAGCTAGGGACTTTTGGGGGATTAGCACTGGTATATTGATGTGTGTGTGTGCTAGCATTGATCAGATCCAGAACCAGACTGTTCCTTGGGCACATCCTACAGGACAGTCACTGAACTTAGGAGATTTGATGTAGATTATGTCATTTCATTGCACAAATGCTCACATGTTACGGATGGGAAAGCCAAAGCTCAGGGTACACGGCTCCTCCAAGGTCATACAGCCGGTAAGCTGCAGACCAGGGCTCCAATCAGAACTTTCCAAGACCAGTGGTGCTTTTCCTCAACCTCCCAGCTCCCTGTCAACCCCCAGTCTGTCTACCCCAGTCTCAGAAATTGTCCTGTATCTGCTTGTTGGGTTTTAGGGAGACATGATTTGCTCTGTGATGTCATCTCCAAGAGTGCAATGATGAGTCATATTAGAGCAAGATTCTTCTGTTCATCAGGCATTATGGGGATAAAGGACGATGATGACAAGGATGATGATGACGGCAGTGATGGCAGTATGAGGGCAGCAACAGCAGCAGCTTGTATCTGTCTAGCGCTTACCATGTCTGTGACACCATGGTAAGCGCTCTCTAGGCATTCATACCAGTCCTGACATGGGTATTGTGATTAGTCCCATTTTATAGATGAGGAGCCTGAGGCACAGGCATGTTACATGCCTTGCCCAAACTCACATAGCTAAGAACTGTTCCAGCCAAGACAAATCATTTCTTTCCTCTGAGCTACTTGAGGAAGTCAACATGCAAAAAGGACCATCTTCATGTCCAGCATATTACAAGGCATATTTCATGTCATTTGGCATTGTTAGGACAATTGTAAGTATTTTCCTTGGTGGGGAGAATCTGATGCACCCCCAGGCCCTGACTCCCGGTACTTCCCCTACCATCATCCTATAACCAACACAGTCTTCCCTTTCTCCTTCTGTGGGGGTCAGGTTCTTAACAACTTGGACAGCCACCTCAAGAAATCCGAATACTTTCGCTTCCTCTGGTTCCCGCACAGCGAGAATGTCAGCGTCATCTACCAGGACCACACCAACAAGGTAGCAACAGCTACAAAAACATTTGTCTTTGTCCCGATGATCAGTGAGGTGTGAGAGGGAAAGCAAGAGTGAGCATCACTGAATGTGAGGACAGAAGCAGGGTGGAAGAAGGAAGGAGAGTTAGCCCAGTAAGGGTCCAAGGTGACCACAGGTAGGGATGTGTGGGAGTGAGGTCAAGACACAGCCTAGATGTGGGAAAGGGGAGCAGAAGTATTGGCAGGACAGGCTAGGATAACATAGGGTACAAGGCAGCTGGGCTATACCTGGACAAACCATCTAATACACCCCCACCTTCCCTCCAACACCCCTATCTTTGCCACCCCCAACTGGACGGGTGAAGGAATCAGTGGTTTTGTCTCTCCCCCATGTCCTTAGCAAATGGGCTGCTTCTCAGCAGAAAACGAAGCCATCCCTTAGGATGAATGTTCGGGGGGGGGATCAAACAAAAGCAGTGACACTCATTGTGTGTTAGGGGCTGGCATGGGGCTCATAAAGGATGATCGCTGGATACCTGCCTCATGGGCTCGGAAGAGGAGGGACTGATGCACATCTTTGTCATGTGCAGAATAAATACATACAGAAATACATGAATACACGTGACATGAAAGGGGCATGAGACTTGACTGCATCACCAAGAAGTGAACTGAAAGAAGGCTTTCAGTTGTACTGGTAGGTAGGTTGGTCGCCCCCAAACACACACAGGCAGCTACTCCTGGGGCATATCTCTCTAAGGAGACACTGTGATGCATAGGTCAGAAAGCAGCCACTGAATTCTACAGAAACCAATATTACACTGTATGTTAACTAACTAAAATTTAAGGATATGTATATGTATACGTATATGTAGGAAAGCAGCTGAGATCTGCCCCTGTACTGATCACAGATTCTTCTTCCCAGCCCCCCTCCTCCTGCGCCAACTGGTTTTGGGACTACGCCATTGGATTCTATTTATTGGAGTTCCTGCTCTGGGTCAGGTAGGAATGCAAGGGTACATTTTTCTGGCATATGCAGTATGCTGTTGAGGATGTGGTCCATCAGAACAACACACTGGCCTTTATGCATGTAAATTGGGTGTGTGTCCTGGGTCTAGAGCAGTGATTTTCAACCATGCATGTACATTCAAATTACCTGGGGAGCTTTTTAAAAATACCAATGCCCGGATGATGTAAATCTTCTCTCGTCCTGTTTTCTACCTCCTTCCCAGCCTAAAATCTGTGCTCATGGGGTGCCTGGGTGGCTATGTCATTAGATGTCTGCCTTCGGCTTGGGTCATGATTCCAGGGTCCTGGGTTTGAGCCCCGCATTGGGCTCCCTGCTTGGTGGGAAGCCTGCTTCTCCCTCTCCCACTCCCCCTGCTTGAGTTCCCTCTCTCACTGTGTCTGTCTTTGTCAAATAAATAAATCTTTAAAAAAATAATAAAATAAAATAAAATAAAATAAAAGCTGTGCTCATGCTCAGGGCCCATGCTGTGCCTGTTCATGGCAGACATGGAACACTGAGTGATGGGGAAGGTTTTATGGGGACTTCAATGGTAACTCTGTATCCAGCCAAGACATGGGATGGCATCATATAATTTTTAAAAAATATTTTATACATGCAAAATAATACAGAAAACAAAAGTATAAAGAATCATGTAAAAAGCACCCATGGGCTTACCAGCAGCTTAAGAAATGAAACAAGATGTGTACAATTGGCATGGTCTTCGTGAAGTCCCAAATCACAGCCTCCAACGGGTTACCAAGAAGTAACCACCACCCTGAACTTTATGCTTATCATTCCCTTGCTTTTGTTTATACTTTAGTTTTATGAATCCCGAAATAATACATTTGTAATTCAGCTTCCGTAGTGAGAATGACCCATGTTGATATGGATAGCTGGAAACACTCATTTTTCACTGGAGGCATTTACCATGTTGTGTTTATCCATACTTGGATATTTGGGTTGTTTCTAGGATTTTTTTTTTCCCCGTTACAAACAACATTGCTGTGAGCATTCTCAACCGCTGCTCCTGGTGCTTTTTTATTTTTGTCTTGAGTAGAGTTTGTCATGAGTGGAACACTCACTGAGTGCAATTTCTGAGCCATTGAGCGCAAGTAGCTTCAGCCTTGTGCATCCAGTTGCCCTCCCCAAGTTTCCTCGCTGAGCCCTGTCTGATTCTCTGTGCTCCGCAAGCCGCTCAAAGTTGGACTTGTCAGGCGTTTACACTTTCAGGTGATGTGTATTAAATAGTAGCTTACTGTGGTTCTGAATTCTTAGTTCCATGCTTACTAGGAAGAATGCCCAGTTTTCCATTTTATGGACCCTTCGGATTTCTTGCTTGTGAAGTACCTATTTATGTTTTTTGCCCTTTTTAAAAATTGAGTGGGCATTTTTTTTCTTACTGTTCCATAGGGTTTTATTGGTCCATCTTGAGCACTCACCTTTTGCATTGCAACATCTCCCTGTTTGTGTCATCTTTCACTTTTATGGCTTTTTTTTTTTTTTACATGTAGATGTATTTAATGTTAATTGAGTAAAATTTGGCCATCTCTTCTTTCACCTTGGGGACTTCTGTGTCTTGTTAAGAAATCTTTCCCTACCAAAAGGGCAGAGAAACCCACCATGGGTGGCACCCATGACAGGACATGCAGAACTAGCTGGAGTTCTTGCCGCATCCTGGACGCGGCTGAGACCTTTGGGTCTGTAGGTCTGCATCCGGGGATCTGGGGAAGGGTTGGCCTCCCCAGGGTGTAGGGAGCTGCAGGTGGCACCTGAGGGGACCCATGCCGGGGTGACTAACTGCCTGGAAAGTGTTAGGAGAGTGAAATGCAAGCAGGACGCACTGCGTCTGCACAGGGAAGGGCAAGGGAGCTGTGAGGAAGCCCGCACGGGGGCCACCGCTCCAGCACAATATGGATGGGAATGAGTGGAAACGCCGACTCAGGCTTTCTCTCCACCTTCCATCATAGCCTCTCAGCAGCTTTATGTGTGTGTGTCTGGGGAGCCCGAGCCCAATGACCACTCAAATAAATTGGGCTTTAAATCACTGCTACCACTTCCTGGCCCGAGTGGATGCTCTGTGAGAGCTCAGCAGACTCTGAGTTCAGCCCACATGGCTCTGGTTTAGCTGCTTCTGGAAACTGCGTCCATCCAGCTCACCCCGGCTGCTTTCTGGTGCTCGCTAAGCTGTGGCCTGAAGGTGTGGGAACAAGAAGGGAATAACAGCTGGTACTTGGTGGTTTAATGACTGCTTCACAGCCAAACTCACCGTGTCCTGGCAAGGGCAGGGACTCTTGTCTTTCCCATCACACTCAGACCCCAGTGCCCCCAAACAGTGCCTGGCACCTGGGGGGAGGCTCCTAGATATCTGTGTAAGAAATGCCAAATAAAGGGGCATCTGGGTGGCTCAGTTGGTTGGGCGACTGCCTTCAGCTCGGGTCATGATCTCAAGAGTCCTGGGATTGAGCCCTGCGTCGGGCTCCCGCTGCCTGCTGCTTCCCTGTTTGTGCTCTCTCTCTCTCTGTCAAATGGATAAATAAAGGCTTTAAAAAAAAAAAAAAAAAAAAAGAAGAATTTCCACCTGAAAAGCTTGCTGCCTGTCTTTGAAGAGTTCAGTGGGGTTCCACTGTAGGAGTGAGGCTGGTGGCCAGAGGTGACCAGGACAGAAAGGCAGGCTGTTAGGAACAGGTCCCTGGAGGGTGAGCCAGGGCCAAGGCCAAGCTCAGCAACTCTGGTTAGAATAGCCCCATGGCCAGGAGCCAGTGGGGAGCCCCACCATAGCCCCTGGCCTCAGAGACAACAGGGAGCATCTGCCTTGAAACTGATGACACCCTCCCCCAACCCTACGCCTGCAACAGGTACCTGGGGACCCTTTGTGAATCCCAGGAAACTCGGCAGCTTGGGCCCATGAGAGGAGCATGAGCTGTGGATTCAAGTGGACTTGGACTCTCGTCCTCACTCCTTCATTTTCCTACTGTGTGACTCTGGGTAAATCGCTCAGCCTCTCTGAGCTGTGGTTTACCCATTTATAAAGTAGAGCCACTAGCAACAGTTGGGTTGTTTGGAGGATTCAACATGGAGTCTGCATGAAAGGTGTTCAGTAGACCTTACTCCCTTCTCACGGTGGTTTCTGGTGCCCCACCTAAGTGAATCCACTGTTTATCTGTAACGGCCATGAGGTGGTCTGAGCAGCTGGGATGGATTTTTGACAGGAAATGAGACGGCAAGGATGCCACAAGGGACAGGAGTGTAGTAAGGGTGCTTCTAAGCAGAGGCTACCCGCAGGCAGGGAGAAGCTAGGCAAGCCTTGTTACCAGGAGGCTCAAGTGACTCCAGGAGAGGCACGAGCTATGCCACTAACATGAGTAGAGCCAGTTCAGCTCACAGGAGCCGGAGCGGGGAAGGAAGCGGGTCCATGAACGGGATGACGGGACAGGCCCCTGCAGCCAGCCTCAGCCTGTGTCCTCTTTGGGTATGTATCTAAAAGAATTAAAAGCAGGGACTCAAAGAGATCTTTGCACACCCATGTTCATAGCAGCGTTATTCACATTAGCCAAAAGGTGGAGGCAGCCCACGTGTGCGATGGAGGAATGGATAAGCAAAATGTAGTCTCACTTAAAATGGCGTATTATTAATATGCTGTATATTATTAAAAAGGAAGGCAGTTCTGATGCACTGATGCAGGCAGTAACATGGATGAACCTTGAGGACAGGATGCTGAGGGAAGGAAGCCAATCCCAGAAGGCAAATACTGTACAATTGTACTTCTGGGAGACCCCAAGGGGGGTCAAGTTCATGGAGACAGAAAGAGGCTGGGGGAGGGGCAATGGGGAGATGTTCACTGGGGCCAGAGTTTCACCTCTGCAGGATTCCAGAGATTCACTCCAGGACAACGTGAATATACTTAACATGGCTAAACTTTATACTTAAAAATGGCTAAGATGGTGGATTTCATGTTAGGTATTTTTTACCACAATTAAGAATGAAAAAACTTCAAACACTGAAAACAAAGCTAGTCCTCAGCGGCAGAGTGGGGGCACGCATGTGGGCTGTTCCCATGGGGCTTCTGGCAGGGTTGGGAGGGTGATGTAGAAGTGACATCTGTATCCCCCAGAAGGTGTCCGAGTTGCAGAGACCGTGAAGCGGCAGTCTGTAGGGAATGAGGTTTGTAAGGAGCTTAGCCCATGGTTTGTAAGCACATCGCCAGGACTCACTAAATGCTGGAGAATGATTTTTTTTTTTTTTTAAGATTTTATTTATTTGTCAGAGCACAAGCAGAGCCGCAGGGAGAGGGAGAAGCAGACTTCTGTTGAGCAGGGAGCCTGCCGTAGGACTCAGTCCCAAGACCCCGGGTTCATAACCTGAGCCGATGGCAGACGCTTTACCCGCTGAACCACCCAGGCTTCCCAGTAATACGATTGTTCATTGCCCCTCTGCGCTGTCCCTCCAGCACCTTCCTGCCGGGCCTCGTGGGCTGGATCAATCGCTTCTTCTTCTGGCTCCTGTTCACCAGGAAGAAGGAGAGCAGTAATGTCAGCCACAAGATCTTCACCTACGAGTGCCGCTTCAAGCAGCATGTCCAGGACTGGGCCATCCCCAGGTAGGGGCTGTGTGGGCCGGGCTATGGGGGTCAGGGTCAAAGAGACCCCCTTGGGTCCTCGCTGCAGCCCTAGCACAGAAACCACGTTCCCAGTCCTACCCATTGTTAGGAGGGGGAACACCAGAGGCCAAGTCCCCTTTTGGCACCCTTGTACCCAGCCGTTCTACCTCTGAGGGGACTTCAGCCACGGAATCCCCTCTGTTCTCCTGTCGGTCCCTCTCCAGCCCAGAGGTGGGTCACAGCATATGGGCTTGGAGTGTGGGGGTTCCTGCCCAGCTGCTTGTTTTTCTGAAAGACTGTCCCCTGCATTCTGTCCATCGGGGGGCAGAGCCCACCTAGCATGCCAGGGGCAGGCACTCTGCCTTGGGAGAAACGTCCAGTGAGGACCTAGGTTAGGTCCATAGCCCCAGAACTCATTACAACTTTCTCTCAGAATGGTCCCCTCTCTGTCTCTCTCCGGGGAAAGGGAATGATGGTGCCCACAGCTTAGGGGATGCCCCTGTCTCTGTTCAGGGGCTGGGGCACTGCTGTCCCAGGGGGGATATTAGAACAAGTGGATGTAATAGAAGCGTACTGACTTTACTCTGTCAGAAAAGAAAGAGGCCAGGGGTGTGGGACAGCTATTTCCAGAAACCTGAGGGGAGCCCGCGACTGGCGGGGGTCCGGGGCTGAACCAGGAGCCAGAGAAGCTCCCCAGGAGGCACATTCTCAGGCCCCCCTTCTATGAGAAGGACTTGGAGAGCAGCCGGCAGCATGGAGCTCCTTCCGCACTGGGAGCCCTCCTGTCCCTGGGTGCAGGCTGGGGGGCTGTGCGAGGCCCTGTGTGAGGGTTCCAGGAGACCCCTCCCTGAGGTCTGTGCCCACTCCCCCGGCCGAGTGCAGAGAGAAGACCAAGGAGGCCCTGCTGGAACTCAAGGCCATGCTGGAGGCACACCCCAAGATGGTGGCCCACTACCCTGTGGAGGTCCGCTTCACCCGCGGGGATGACATCCTGCTGAGTCCCTGTTTCCAGAGGGACAGCTGCTACATGAACATCATCATGTACAGGTGACCGGCTCAGCGGGAGCAGTGGGCTGGGGTGGGCTGTGCGAGGCAGCCTCTCCCACCCCCTCCCCCCGCTTTGCAAGGACCCGTCTCCTCACCCATCGTTGAAGGCCTGTTCAGATGCTCCTGTCTCTGGGGAGGCTTCTCTGATCCTGGCAGCAGGAAGAAGTCTCTCTTTCTCCTTGGGCTTCCTACACCTATAGCAAGTGAATCATGTGAATTATGGTATTATGTTAATGGAATTATTAATATTAATTAGTAGGTCATGTGACTATGAATAGCTACCTCTTATGAGATAGACAGTACTCGGTGGTGAAGGCATGGGGTGCTGTGTGCCTACTCTGGTCGGTGGTTCTGAGAGCCTGGAGTGCTGTGTTGAGAAGGATTCTGAGGCTAGGTTTAGGTTAAGTGGAAGAGGGGGTCATGCTCAATTCAAGCTGCCTGCCCAGTTGCATTGGCCCATCCCAACCAGCCCCTCCAGGCTCTGTGCAGACAACGTAGGCTCATGGCGGCATTTCCTCTTTCCTAGTTAGTTATATGTGGCAGTTCCAGGATAAGGCTTACGGACATGCAGGGTTTAAGAAGTTAATCTCTTCGAAAATGTTCTGTGCAAAATGTGTCTTCCTTCTGCCTCTTGTTCCCGCCTCTCACTGATAATTTCCCTCCTCTGACTTTGCAAAGGAAAAACATCCCTCTTGCCCAGCTTGAATCTTACTATGGTGTATTTCTCCAGCCTGTAAAAATCTCAAACCTAGAGGATGCCCAAGGGACAATTAAAGAGTGCACTGTTCAGAAAGGTTTCCCCAAAAGCCGGAAAAGAGTTTATGAAAGATGCATTGAACGGGAGGAGGCAGCTGCTCTCACGAACGGACAGCCTTCTGGCAAGGCTCAGAGCTTATCTATCTGTCCCTCTATCTCTCCTCTCCCTACTTGTGAATGCAGATGAGAAGTGAGAAAGTTGCCATGGGTATGCATCGTGTTTATTTGAATTTTAAAAAGTTTTGACTGAGACTTTGTCTGCCAGTAAGTCTGACTTGGCTGATGGACTGTGAGGACTGACCAACCAGTGATACGGCCATGCTTTCCACACATCAAATGAAGGGACTCGGAGATTCCTAGGCTTTGTCAAAAAGATGGCATATTTAGGGGCGCCTGGATGGTTTGGTCAGCTAAGTGTCTCAGTCTAGATACTGGCTAAGTGTCTCAGTCTAGATACTGGCTAAGTGTCTCAGTCTAGATACTGGCTCAGGTTGTGATCTCAGGGTTGTGAGATCGAGCCCTGTACAGGGCTTCATCTGTGCTCAGCGAGTGTGCTCGAGATCTCTCTCCTCTCTTTCTCCCTCTGCCTTTCCCACATTCTTGTCTCTTGATCTTAAATAAAGAAAGCTTTAAAAAAGAAAAGAAAGATGGGGCACCTGGGTGGCTCAGGGGGTTAAGCCTCTGCCTTCAGCTCAGGTCATGATCTCAGGGTCCTGGGATCGAGTCCCCGCATCGGGCTCTCTGCTCAGCAGGGAGCCTGCTTCCTCCTCTCTCTCTCTCTCTCTCTCTCTCTCTCTGCCTGCCTCTCTGCCTACCTGTGATCTCTGTCAAGTAAATAAATAAAATCTTTAAAAAAAAGAAAAAAAGAAAGAAAAACTGCATGGCATTAAAAAAAATGGCATATTTATATGTTACCCCATAAAGATGTGGGCATGTGTATGTATATTTGAATTTAGGATAATTTTCAGATGCCAACTATAAAACCTGTGAGAGGAGGCAACACTTTCTGAAATCCCTCAGGTGATGAGCAGTGAGGAAGACCCCTCAGGTTGCTTGATTACTGCCGTCCAAGTCCTGCGGGCAGAGCCACCGGCTTGATCTCCGTACCACATGCTGCATGCTGGGCATGGCACGAAGACAGTGTCTTGTTGCCGTGGCGGGATGCTTAGGGCAGGGACAGGGCCTCACCACCTCCTCTTCCCCACCAGGCCCTACGGCAAGGACGTGCCCCGGCTGGATTACTGGCTGACCTATGAGACCATCATGAAGAAGGTCGGGGGCAGGCCTCACTGGGCCAAGGTAGGATTTGCCAGTGAGAGGCTCTGGGGTGCCAAGCAAGTCATGGGAAGGAAGGGTTCCGCTGTCTTACCCAGACCCGGCTCCCCCACTGCTTCCACATTCCAGCAGCTCAGTGATTGTACTGGGTGACCACTCCCTTGGCGTGTTCTGAGAAATTTGTCCTCTTTCACTGTATTTGATTCCCATAGAAACCCCATGAGCGGGGCGCCTGGGTGGCTCAGTGGGTTAAAGCCTCTGCCTTCGGCTCAGGTCATGATCCCAGGGTCCTGGGATCGAGCCCCGAGCCCCGCATTGGGCTCTCTGCTCGGCGGGGAGCCTGCTTCCTCCTCTCTCTCTCTCTGCCTGCCTCTCTGCCTACTTGTGATCTCTATCTGTCAAATAAAATAAAATAAAATCTTAAAACAAAAAAGAAAAGAAAAGAAACCCCATGAGCAGGGTAAGGCAGGAGGCCGTGAACCCCTTTAACAGATGGGGAACTGAGAGGCTCTCAGAGGGATGGGACTTACTAATTAGCAGTACAGTTGGGGCCAGAGCCCTCTAGGCTCTCTCACTGTGGGGTGCCAAAGGGAAGGGGGCGTTTCCCATTAACACTGTAACACCTTCCTCTACCTTCCTAGAACATCCTGTCTCCTTGGGTCTTTACATTGTGTGTGTGTACGCATGCGTGCCCACGTGGCTAGGGGTGCATTTTTCAAGCACGCGTGCACGTGTAGGGAGTGCACACAGGCATGTGCCCAGCAGTAGGAGTGTTACATATGCAGACCTCCAGACTCAGGGTTGCCGGGTTGCAGCCCCGCTGAGACGCCAGCTCCAGGGAGCAAGGCCTGTCATGTCTGGTTGCTTCTGCAGGCCCACAACTGCACCCGGAAGGACTTTGAGAAGATGTACCCAGCCTTTTCGAAGTTCTGTGCCATCCGAGAAAAGCTGGACCCCACTGGGATGTTCCTGAATGCATATCTGGAGAAGGTGTTCTACTGAAACAGAAAGAAAATGAATAGAGCCCACCCCATCTCATCCCTCCAGTGAAAATGAAGGCTCAACAGCCCACAGGCCTGGAGGGGAGTGGGCCTCTCTCTGCAGGCCCTCGGCTGCTGCCCCCACAGCTGCTCCGGTCCCCAGCGATGAGCCTGGGTCTTTGCAGGGCTCCCTGTTCTACTTCCCGTGTCCTCACAACACCCACCCCCACCACCCACCCCACCCCCCGCAAAGAAGAGCTCCCAAGTCTCCGTGGACATCATTTACATGCAGCAGTCCGTTTTCCTGAACCTAAAATCACCACGTTGTTTTCCCAGGAAATAGAGAAACCCCAAAATGCTCTGTTTAAGAGGTCAGCGATTTGGTCATTCACAGGTTCCACCTGCCAGCTAGGGGTCCCGTAACTCCCAGGCCTCCAGGAACACGTGTTTGGGCACAGTTGTCACGGGTCTGTGCTCTGCCTCCTTACACCCTGAGGGGTTCTCACATGCCCAGGTCAGCACCAATTTGCCCCAAGGCTGCCCTCTCCCAGTTTCTGTCTGTCCACCTGACCTCCCATAGGCTGACATTCAAGCGTGTCTGTTGCAGGGGATGTGTGGGAAGTGGGCCTGCTGCTCCTTTCAAATAAAGACCAAGAATTGTTCACTCTCTGCCCTCCCACCTCTTCATCTCCAGGTAATCCTTGGGGAACAGGAGGCTCACTCATTTCCTGGCTTCTCCCCAGAGGTAACGGGTCTTGGGCAGGCCTAGAAAATGTTCTTCATATTTGTTTTTTGCAAATTAGTTTCAACTGGTCTCTGGCCTATCACCTTTTGTGGACATTCTTTTGTGAGTATTCACTGAGTATCTACTAGGGTGTCAAGTGCTTTGGAAATCAAAAGAACATTAAGACAGGTTCCTGGCCTCAAGAAATTTCTAATCTCATCTCTCATAAGAGGTTAATATCCACGATATATAAAGAACTCTTAGAATTCAACAACAAACAAAAATGTTTAAATGGGCAAAGGACTTGAGCAAACATGTCTCCAAAGAAGATACCCAAATGGCCAATGAGCCCAAGAAAAGATGCTCCACATCCTTAATCATTTACAAAGTGCAAATAAAACCACAGTGAGATTATCACTTCATACCCATTAGGCTCATTATTACTTAAAAAATTAAAAAAAACAAACACAAGTGCTGTGAAGGATGTGGAGAGGAAATGTTAGGCATCAACTGGGAACATAACCTGGCACAGCCATTCTGGAAAACAATATGGTGGGTCCTCAGAAAATAAAACTTAGAATTACCACGTGATCCAGCCATTCAACTTTTGGGTATACGCCCAGAAATCCTGAAAGGAGGGACTTGAAGAGAGATTTGTGCAGCATGTTCAGAGCAGAATTTATTCACCATCTTCAAAAGATGGAAGCCGCCCAACTTAGCAGAGAGGAATGGAGGAGCACAATGTATAGTAGACTCAGCCTTGAAAAGGAAGGACATGTTGACCCAGGCTGCAAGATGGATGAACCTTGTGGACATCATGGTAAATAAGCTGGTCAGAAAAAGACAAACACTGTATGATCCCGCTTAGATGAGGCAATTAGTGTAGTCAGATTCATAGAGACAGCGGAATGGGGGCTGCAGTGGGTTGGGGGTGGGGGAATGGGGAGCTGGTAGTCACTGGGGACTTGGTCTTGGACAATGAAAAAGCTCTGGAGGAGGCTGGAGGTGGTTTCATGACTGTGGATAAATAAAAAGGTCACTGAATGGTATACTTGACAATGGTTAAAATGATAAATTTTGTGTTAGAGATTTCTTACTCCAATAAACATGAAGGAATTTATATTCAAGTTCAGGGAAGCAAAATTAATGTGCAGAGGATATTCAGTAGCAATATCAGGGAGGAGTCAGATGAAGTGTCAGGGAAATGGTATAGTCGTGAAGACCCGGCAGGCCTGGCGGGACAAAGGTTCCTCAGGGATCCTCCCTCAGCCAGAAGATCCAAGTCCGTGGCCAGGAGAGCCAGACCCAGCCCTTCATCAGGGCTGATTATGTAATTCACAGGGTCCAGAGCAAAACAAGTGTGTCAAGAGAGTGATAACAGAGCATTAAATGAAGCTTAAGGTCCTTCTGAGCAGCTCAGGTCCTGCCTCGACCCTCCTCAGAAGAGCGCATCACAGGCATGACGGCTAATTTTATGTCATCAACTTACTGGACTCTAGTACTGCGTTATTTAATCCAGGTACTGGTCTGAAGGTGTTTTGTACATGTGGTTAATATCTACAGTCAAGTGACCTAACGTAAAGGCAATTATTCTCGAAAACGGGTGGGCCTTGAGCAATCATTTGAAAGACTTAAAAGCAAAAATTGAGGTTTCTAGAAGAAGGATGAGTTCTGCCTTGAGAGTTTCTGTCTAGAGTGTTTGAGTTTCCAGACTATGGGGCTGCCCCCATGGATATCAGGTTTCGGAAAATCACAATAGCCAATTTCTTGAATGGATATGAGCTGTGCACTGGTGCCATTTCTCCAGAGGATGCTGACCGATACATAAGGGGCGGGTAAAGTTAATAAAAAGAAAAACATAGCAGGCAAAACCCTGGGGCTTTGGAAATCCAGTCCCTCTCAGGTTCTACAGATGAGGAAACCAAGGCTCAGAGAGGTGAAGAAGCTTGTCCAACATCACAGCAAGTTAGGAAAAGCAATGTCTTCAAACCTTCCGAGGTCTGTCTTGCAGCCCTAAGTTTTCAAGAGTTTGAATTTCATTTCTAAAATCTATGGATGTTGCATTCTATTTCATTATGTAACTGTGTTTTAAACTTTTGAGTAAAATTTTACTTTCCAAATCTTTAAATGACATTTCTTCTCTAGGAAAGAGTGGCACCTTTGTTCTGGGGTCTTCCAGAAGCTCACATTGACCCCAGCAGAAGTACAGATCCTGAGGGACACACAGTGAAATGTCTTAAGTCTGAAACCTTGAGATTCAGTAAAACTTCAAGTTCTGGAATGCTAGGGCAAAAGAAAGTTCTGGAAATAGACTTTCCAATTATTGGAGAACCCAGATGTCTTTTCTGGCTCAGGTTTTTCATGAGTATAATTTATTCTTCCTTTGATTTGGAATCTTTTGAGGCCCGAAGGTCATCCTTCCCCAAAAATTATCATTGTAGGGATGCCTGGGTGGCTCATTTGGTTAAGCATCTGCCTTCAGCTCAGGTTATGATCCCAGGATCCTGAGATCGAGCCCCACATTGAGCTCCCTGCTCAGTGGGGAGTCTGCTTCTCCCTCTCCCTCTGCCGCTCGCCCTCCTTGTGCTGGCTCTCTCTCTATGTTAAATAAATAAATAAAATCTTTTTAAAAAAATTAACATTGCAGAATCCTTTTGATTTGAATGTTGTGTCCCAGAGGTCATAAACTGGACTCCTGAAAGTATTGCTGGTACAGATGCACTTTTTCTCTCCTTCCTGGATTCCCCTTTACTACTTCTGTCCAAGGTCCCCACCGGCTGGCTTGTCTTCTCTCCCAGCGTCAGCCTTAGGTAGCAGGAGCCGGCTCTGCTCCGTGTGGCAAACACTCTCATCTCAGGAGATTTGGTAAATCATGGGTGCTGAGGCCCAGAACATGTGCTCTGACCCTGGAGGGTGACCACCAGCATCATCTGCAGAGACAGACAGAAGGTTGAGGAATGGCGTTTCCCCAGGGCCCAAGGGAAGCTATCAGGGCCGTTAGGTTAAATCTGGGGTGCGAGCTCACCAGCCAAAAGAAAAGGGGCACATTACACCAGGTGGCGTAACTGAACTGTGGGTGGCTTCTCCCCTCGGGGCGGTCACCTGGCCCCTCGCTCCACAGGGGCAGAGCTGAGAATGGGAGGGCTCCGCGCCAGCTCTGACGGTCTCAGAAGGATGCACCTCTGCCCAGAAAGTGTCCTAAAATTCGAGGATTTGAGCCCTTTAAAGGCCCAAGACAGATGCCCACTCACTTCACTCGCATTAGTCTCTGGGAAGGGATGACCCCAAATCAGCTGAGTCACCTTGGCTCCCTGCACAGACAGGACCAAGAGGCTAGACAAGGAGGTGGGTAGGGGGGACTGACTCCAGGGAGTGGGCAGCAAAGCCCAGCAGCAGCAACACAACTTTGGTCCTTCTTTCAAGGTCAGCCCAGAACAGGGACTCATGGCGCCCCCTGGTGGCAGCTGTCCCTAACCAGCCAAGGCACCCAGGCAGCAACAAAGGAGCCCGTCCCTGACATACATCCTGTGGCCAGCTAGTCCCCAACTAAAAAGTGGCCAGGAACACCACAGAGAAAGAAGCAGACCCAGGGAAGGGAGCCACTGGGGGGTTGCCGAGAGGGAAGGGTTCTCTATGCAACCCCAGGTTTCAAATTTAGAAGAGGTGCCTGGGCACCCTACAAGGAAGAGCTCACCCGTAGGTCTCCAGATACTAAAATGAGTCCAAAGGCAGGAGCTATCCAAGGAAGGGAGAGTGGAAGCTAGAAAAAGAGCTATGAGCACCCTAATTCCGGGGGTCCTTGAGGAATCCCCTAGACTAAAAGGGAAGCAATGCAATAAGGCAGGGTCTAAGCAAAGCTGAGCTAAAGCCGGTCTTATCTTGGTTTTGACCCTAGTTCTCTCTCCACGTGGCAGGGCCTTTCGGAAGATCAAGTGACACCCAGACTGTTCCAGAAAATTATCCAAATGTGGTGGCTTTTTTTTTTTGCTTTTGATATCCACAAGCGAATGTCTTCACACCCGCAGAGCGAGCTAACGCTGTCCCGAGTTCAAGATCTTTGCAGGCTATTATTTTATTTTATTTTTTTTAAAGATTTTATTTATTTGACAGACAGAGATCACAAGTAGGCAGAGAGGCAGGCAGAGAGAGAGAGAGAGGAGGAAGCAGGCTCCCCGCAGAGCAGAGAGTCCGATGTGGGGCTCGATCCCAGGATCCTGGGATCATGACCTGAGCCGAAGGCAGAGGCTTTAACCCACTGAGCCACCCAGGCGCCCCCAGGCTATTATTTTAAAGGCCAAACTCTTGCACACACCAGGCAGGTGGGCTGGTGATTGGATGCAGGCTTGAGCTTGAAGAATGAATGCGGTCCTTTGACACTACATCTCTGTGATTTTATATACCTGAAGTCATATGTGAAGAATTCCAGTCTTCTTGTGGGTGTAAGGCTGAATGAAGTAGGTGGTCCTCCCATCACCCCACCCTTGCGATGTGCCTTCTCTGAGGTCAGACTGAGTCAGGTGTTTGTTTTCACTGGATTGGGCACCAGAGAGAGACTGAGATCAAGAAGAGGTTGTGGGCAAATGTTTGGTGCTAGTTCAAGGTCAGTGTCTTTGCTCCCCGGGGTGATGAACAGAAGAGGGCAGGCAGATGATAGGGTTATCCTCTCCGTCCCCTTCCTAGCCTGAGTTAGCGTCTTCCCAACTCTGGAGGGTCCAGATGGGTTGAAGGCAAATGTTGACTGTGAGGGAATGGGACCTCTGGGCGGTGGGCGTGGGTGGACGGGTGGAACCGGCCCAGTGGCTGTTGCCCATGCTGCTCTGAGCCACATTCTAGACCTGGAGGATTATGACCAAGGGGTTGAGCATATCCCGGAGGCATACTGAGAGTCCATTACTCACCTGGTCCATTTGTCCCATGCGGTCCGGCTTTTACTGATTTTACTGATTTGCCTGTCATTGGTTACCATGGGTTCTATAGGTAAAGCTCTGCAGACCTGAGAACTTCCCACGTTGTCTTTAGAACTATTTAATAGTTCCTGAGTTTGCCAAGCTGCTCTCTTACAGCTAGCAAATGCCGGCAATGCTGGGTCTGGATAGGAGATTGAGGTGGAAGCCCGAGCTGCTCAAAGGAGGTTTCCTGGGAGCCCCAGAATTAGACCCGAGTTCGATCCCAACTCTGCCACTTTCCAGCCTCACAACTGTGAATACACGGTCCCTATTCTCTCTGCAACTCCCTGCTGGTGCCCTCTCCCCAGCACACTCCGCGTCTGAACTCCAGTCTCTCCCCCAGTGTTCTGAAAGTCCAGAGCACAGTAGGAAGAGGCAAGGTGTGGCTCTGGGACCCTCCATCCTGCCACTCTCCCTGCTCAAGCTGTCTGAGATTATCTGAGGTGGGGTGCTGTCTTGCTTGGTCTGGTCACCAAGATTGCTACTACCAGATGGCCTCCTCTCCTTATAGACAGAATGATGGTTTCCAGGTGCTGGCTTTGAATTTCACTTGGGCACCCTTAGAGAGCGGCCCCTGTGCCCTCCTTAAGCTTCCACCAGCAGTCAAGCCCTCCAGCCCATTGCCGGAGATGGGCGAGACAAGGGTACTGTTACATGGTGAGCGTTTTCCTTCAATCTTATCACTGGAACTTCGTGACCAAAGTGTAACCCCACTGGAGATGATGTCAAAAGCCTATCTGGAAGCCCTTCAGGAAAGTGAAGTGGGAGCCAAATGGCCTTTCATTGACCCCCAACCCCACCACTTAGTGTTGAGCTCTGCTCTGCACACATGACAGCTTCCTGGCTCCCACCCCTCCCCTATTCTCTGCTACTTCACAATGAAGGATGGGTAACCTGGGGTCCCCTTCAATAGCCTCTGGGGGCCACAATGAACAAGGGTCAGATGTTCTTGCATCTAGGCTTTCTGGGTCACATGCTTTTCTAATGAAGGCTACACCTAGAAGCCTTTGTAATGTGGGGATATAACCCCTGCCTAGAGAGAAACTATGGGACATAATGAGATGACATGAAGCAGTTGGCCAAGTGGTAGAGGGCTTCAGCTGGCCTAGGGGTACTGGTACAGTTGCGCAAGCTGTACACTGTGTAATTCCAGTATCATTTCACCATGCAGCGAGCAGAGATTATTTTTTATTACAATTTTCTGGCTGAAGGCCATTGAGAGTCACCATAGGGCTAACCACAGGGTTGGTGGTGCCCCTTGCCAGTCAGGTGCCAAGCCCTCTCTTCTCAGAACATCCAGTCCTGCTCCCACTTTGCCATGAGCTTCCTAGAGGCCATAGTCTTTCATTAGCCATGGTCTCCCTGCCACAATTCTCCATACACATCTTGTCCCTGCACCTTGGTGATCTTGTGCCCTGCCTTGGTCTTGGTAGCGCCTCAGGCTAGGACTCCTGTCAGGGATGGAGGGACATCTAACTAAACACCCTCAACGAGGCCACTGTGCAAAGGAGGAAAGAGGATGGACACAGGGGCTCCCAGCAAACCTCGGAGTCAGCTTTAGTCTGTCTTTAAGGTGGTACACTAGGACAGTGTGAAGTAGATTGCATAAAAAAAGCAACATTTGGATAAAGTGGCTGCCAGAATCCAGTGACATAATTAGAAAATAAAAAGCAAATTTTGAAATAAGGATGTGACATTAATGTGATATATGATTTACAATGATGGTCATTTTAGCAAATGCCTTCTGAACCCATGCCCTTTCTGAACCCATGCCCCTAATTAAGTGAACCACACTAACTTTATTCTGAATTTCCTTGAGAGCAAAATGAAAATTACCAGCTTCTTTGATGAGCTAAGCCTTGGGGTGTCACTTGTGTGCCAGAGGTACTTAGAACTTGAAGACAAGTAATGGTGACCTAAGAATATTTTTTTTAATTTTTTATTAACATATAATGTATTATTAGCCCCAGGGGTACAGGTCTGTGAATCACCAGGTTTACACACTTCACAGCACTCACCATAGCACATACCCTCCCCAGTGTCCATAACCCCACCACCCTCTCCCTACTGCCCTCCCCCTGGCAACCCTCAGTTTGTTTTGTGAGATTAAGAGTCTCTTATGGTTTGTCTCCCTCCTGATCCCATCTGTGACCTAAGAATATTCTAAGCGTTTAATTAATATGTGGACTTTGCTACAAACCTGGAATGCAGCCAGATGTGTTTTCCTCATGTGAAGTATATTTGATGAAAAGAATTCTGTAGTTAGAAAATACTCAGAAATGGTAAGGCTTCGTAACTTAGTGTTGGTGGGGCAGAACCGCGGTTAGGCAGGGCCATCTGCTGGCAGTCTGGGGTACTGCAGCCCAGCTATATCGGACTAAGAAGTAAATATGCCTTCAGGAAAAACCCAAGTAGATGAGAAATTGTGGTGGAGGCGAGGGCAAGATAGGAAAGTCGTATGGACTGACAGCAAACAAGGCCACGGTCAGGAAAGGGCCACAGGAATTCCAAACCCTTACAAGTAAAAAGGAAATTGACTCATTTAGTCTTTTGGGGATGACAGATTCCAGGAAGAAAATATCAACTGGGTATTAAAATACCCAGGATGCATTATTACTATCCCTTCTTCAATCTCATCTTCCGTGTGTTCCTTCAGGAGATCTCACTCACCCCAATACGGCCACCATTTTATAATGGAATGGACAAGATTCACTTTTCAGAAATATATTTTACTTGGCTGTTAGAACACATTTCCACTCTGAAAAGCAAGAACTCCTTGGTTCAACTCTGTCACACTCCTTTTATTCTCAATTACAGGATAGTCCTTATACCATCTGAGCTAGCGCTTTTCTTTCCTACATCTTTTTTTTTTTTCATGCCAAAATGAAGACCCATGGGAGATAGAAAAACCCAGCACAAAAGGACACCACAGAGAATTCAGATTACTGGTGGTTTTATTGAGTTAGTGGCACACAGGAGTTCTTCCCATGATCAGCGAACATGGTGTTACAATGCGGAGTCCAGAGGGAGGACAGGCGGGGTGAGGGGACAGGAGGGCCTCAAGGCAAGGCCCGGTCACTCGGTGACATGCGGAGCTCTCTCTAGGGGCCTATCGCTCATCTCGGGGGCGATGGAACTCAGACACCCGCCATGTGGAGAGGCAGTGTTCCCATCTCATTCCTCCCTGAAAACAAAACAAAGGAGAATGGAAGGTGAAGGCTGGACACTCACGGATAAATGCTTCTCAAAAAAGAAAGAACATCCTCCACAGGAAAATTAACATTTCCAGAGATTTTTCTGGCTTCCTGCCTGGTCTCTGCCTGTAGGAGGAATCATTCCCAGGCTTGACCCGAGGCCTTTTTTCTGGCTCCTGGGGACCTGCTGGGCCCGGAAGGAGCACAGTGAGGCCTGTGTACTCACCAGCTCTTCTGGCGGTATTCCTGAAGGGCTTTCTCTGCCACGGTCTCCATAAATTTAGGATTGTTCCTGGAGAGGTCTTCTGGGAGGATCACGGTGATGGGGTCGGAATCGAAGAGCTTCACAACCACCTTAGTGACGCCAGAGGGAGCACTGGAGTCAGAAGTCTGGGAACTCACCTAGGAGGAAAAAGGGTAAGAGAAGGACTGAAATATTGGTAAAAATGGACTCCTTTTGCAACAAAAGGACATCCAGACACGTGACCCCTCCGCTTTTTACTAAGTTTGACAGCCGTTCAATTCAATGAGCAGAAGGGCCCAAATTCATTTGTTTGTAGGTGTCAGTCGTATCTGCAAATGACCAACCAGCCCATGGGGTGACCCCTGACCCCCGCAGGGGAAAAACGGTTTCTAAGCCACCATGTTTTCTTTGGGCAGCTCCTGGCTGGGCCAGCAGCAGAAAAGGAATCAGGGAAAGAAAAACAACAACAAAAAAGGGTTCTCAGCACTAGAGAGAGGCTTTCTATCACTGGTAAAGAATAACGCACCAATTCATGGGCCAAGCTAGAGTGTAGGGCAGCGAGGCAGCTTTGTGGGTAGAGCACAGGCTTTTCAGCCAGGTGGATAGGTTCAAGTGCCCAAGTGGGTCACCCAACAGTTATTAAACCTGGGGCAAGCTGTTGCATCTCTCACTTTCCTCAACCATCAATGGGGTCACAATGGGGAGGGGGGCACCCAGGTGGCTCAGTCAGTTAAGCGTCTGACTTTTGATTTTGGCTCAGGTCATGATCTCAGGGTTGTGAGATCCAGCCCCACCTTGGGCTCCACGCTGGGCATGGAGCCTGCTTGAGATTTTCTTTCTCCTTCTCCCTGTGCCCCTCGCCCCTCATGAGGCTTCCATGCGTTCATGTACTTCCAAGTTGTATGTTTCCTGCCACATGACAAATGTTTGATCCAAAGCGCAAGTGCCCCCTTTAACATCTCCATCCTATTTTGTTCCCCGGGGAGGCTCACATCACCGCCAGACATACCTGCCCCCCCTCCACCCCGATCTTCAGTGTGTGGCCAGGATGGGACTCACCGTCGTGACCTGGAGATAGAATGGGTCCTCGGTCTGAGTGAGATTTGCCAGTTGGGACACCCAGCTAAACTGCTCGTCCAGCTGCTTCAGCAGGGAGGACGTGTTGAACATCTTCTCCTGGTAGGACTGCAGCAGCTCGTCGTACAGCTTGGTGAACTTCTCGGCAATCTGGAGGGAATTATTAAGTTCCTGTCGCAGCTGGACCTGAGCGGGGTTGTTGGACGAACAGTCTGCCCGGAAATGGAGGAAAAAAATTTTAAAAAGGCGGAAATGTGAAGGGAATCCTCAAAAGGGATAAAAATACGACTGGAAGTCAGTTCATGGAGCCAGGACCTAAAGCACAGCGGTTCTAAACGCCCAGCCACACGCAGTGTGCAGTCACTCGGTAACAAAATTCAGAGCTCGCCCAGAATGTCAATCAACATGCTGCTTCCTTCATCGACAAAGTCTTGCTCTGGAAAACAATGTCACCTGAACTAAACAGGGTCCTTAGTGACATCATTGATTTACCTTTGGGGGCAAGGCCCTTACCTCCTTGGAGACCGGTGACAAAGGGCACTGACCGCACCTTGAGAAGCACTGATCTCAGTCTATGTGGCTCAGACCCCGAGCAGCGCTTGCTGTGCTAGTCCCCCGATGCATCGTTTCCGGAGAGAAGGAGTGTTACTTACAGCTCCTAAATACCAGACATTACACGAGCACTTTGGATACCCACTATCTCCAAGAATCACAGCTCTTTCACCTCAAGTGTTACGAGTGATGAAATTGAGGCCCACAAAAGTAAATCACTTGCTAAAAGACACAGAAGGATTTATGGGGCCAGGATTGAATCCAAGGCTTTAACTCCTAAACTTGGGCTCTTCCTCCTCTGAGTCTGTGGCTCTGGAAAAATTCTCCAAGCCTGTCTTTCGAGCCTATCTGCAGAGCTAGAAATCTAGTGCCAAGAGTCCATGACACACAAGAGCTGGCCAGGATCCTTGGGGTACAGAGCAGAGTAGCTTGCTGACTCGGGGGCCCGGCTGGCCCATCTGCTCACCAGAGCTGGTCACCCCGCTCATTGGGGGAGCAGAGAAGACACAGGGGACTGCTCTGGGTCCTGGAATGCTCACTGCAGTTTGTATAATCGATAAGAGCGGGCAACTATCCACTGTGTCTTTAAAAACTACTGATTTTCTTTCCCTGGTTTGTTTCAAAACTATCCCAAGGAGGGTACATCAAACCCAAGCAAGTCAGGAGAAGACAGACCTTTGTATGCTGCATTTACTGTAAAGGGTCCCCGTGAGTGATTATAAGTAGATGTAATCATTTCTATTAAACTCTTAAAAATGGTAGGTAGGGCAGGAAATAAAAGCCAGGTTGGAAAGATAATATAATGAATAATCTCAACTCTTTCACCAGGGGAAAATTAGAAATTGCAAAAAGTCACTGAGAACTGAGACTCTGTCTAGAGCAGTAGATCTCAACCGTGGGCTCTGCTGCCCCCAGGGGGATATTTAGTAAGGTCTGAAAATAGTTTTGGCTGTCACACCTGCAGTTGGGGGCGGGTACCAGTGCCTGGCCAGTAGAGACCAAGGGAGCTGCTAAACATCCCGCAGAGCAGAGGACAGCCTCTCCCGACAAAAATGATCCATTCCAGGGGGAGCTTGGGGGGCTCCTTCGGTTAAACGTCTGCCTTCAGCTCAGGTCATGATCCTGGGGTCCAGGGATGGAGCCCCGTGTCAGGGGTGGGGTGAGTGGGGAGGTTGGGGGGGTGGTCCCTGCTTAGCAGGGAGCTTATTTCTCCGTTTCTCCCTCTCCCTCTGTCCCTCCCCCTGCTGGTGCACGCACGCGCACACACACACACACACACACTCTCTCTCTCTCTCTCAAATAAACAAATAAAATCTTAAAAAACAAACAAACAAAAACAAGCCAGTCCAAAATGTCCAAAACGTCAGTAGTGCCGAAGTTGAGAAACCCTGGTCTAGAGCGGTCAGGCAGTGCGTGCTCGTTTGGTGGCGGGCGCCTCAAAGGAGAGGTGGTCACTTTCTGTCGGGGTAGAAGGGCAGGCAGTGTGGGTGAGCTGTGATCAGGGACCGTTAAGATCCGTGCTCAGGGCACCGGCGTGAGCCCGGGCACCCACGCTCTCTCCTTCTGGCCCTGCATGCACTTTCTGGCAGCGAGGAACTGCACCCTTGACGCTCCTCTGTGACAGCTGATGGGCAAAGCCAGGGACCCTGGGTTGAGGACTCCTGTCCACTTCGGACATCCGCCCCTCCCTGCACTTGGATTTCTTTCCCAGTGCCTTTGAAACTTACAGGAGTGGGGCTGGGCATATTTAACTGGACTCTGAAGCCTTGGCCCAGCAAACCCAAACATATTAAGTAAGAGCAAAGCCACAGGAACAATCGGCTACACCCAAGGAAAACAATTAACTCTTTCCGAGCAGAGAAGGCTGTGTTTCAGATGCTTCTACAGCTATCACTCGAAGTAAGAAGAAATGAGCCAGGGAACGGATCTGATAAAGCTGAGGGGAGCGGCTGAAGGGAAGTGCGGTTGACCCTCGAATAACACGGTTTGAACTGTGTCTGTTTATACGCGGTCCTTTACAGTGTAGTACTGTGAACATAGCCTTCTCTCTTCTGTATCATTTCCTTGTAACATTTTTCTCTAGCTTACTCTAAGAATACAGTATACAGTACACATTACATATGAAATACGTGTTGATACCACCTCCCCTCACCCCCTCCTGGTTCAAAGGTCAACTCTATTTCCTTTGCTTTGGGGACTGATCAACCAAAGTGTATTTTGCTGGGAAGCGAAGGTACCACGACCAGTGACCCACGTGTTCTCAGGACAGAACACTAAGAACATATCAGTTAAGAACACATCCCAAACACCCAGCTCTCCAACATATGGGTGTCCTATCATCTTGGGAAGTGACTCAAGCTTCCTGTGACTATGAGCTTTTTTACCTCGGTAAGATAGGGAAAGTCACTGTACCCAACTCGGGGCCATTCTGAGGAAATGACTAATGTTTGCAAAGTGTTTACAACAGTACCAACATGTACTGCTATTTTATTTATTATTTATTGCTAAACAGAATACATATTATCTAAAAGTCCATCTGCAGAAAAAAGTGGGGACATCTATCCAGCATGGCCTGGGGAAGAGAGTAACAGGGGAAATTAAAAAAAAAGATGTCTCCCAACTTCAGGGACAACCTTACCTCTTAGCCCTTGTCTACAGATGGGGGCGCACATGGAACAGGGCCACGGACCTCCCCCAGTGCCACAGCTAGAAGGCAGCAGAGATGGAATTTCAAGCCCTATGTGTCTGACCCCATAAAGGGATCCAAAGCTCCTCGACTCACCCACGGACAAGATCTCCTGGCACTTTTCACACTGGTCCTTCATCTTCAGGCACCCTGTGGAGTTGTGACGGATCTCCTTGCACACGGCGCCGTCCTTGTTGTCTTCGGGAGACACATGAGGGAAGAGAGCGTCATGCTAAGGGACCACACAGAGTGATATAGTCCTCCCCTCCGACCCCTTCCACACTACTGTTTGCCTCCTTGAGATGCTTCTGTGGGCATAGCAGGTTGGGAATGAGTTGTCTGCCTGCAGATTCCGTCCTCTCTGATCAGGGCTCCCTGTGGAGGGATAGGGGAGGGAGCTCCTGGGGCTCCCTCCCACCATCTGCATCCAATAAGCCCTTCCTGCCTCTGTTCTCTTTGGCATCAGAACCTACTCTGCTCTGCATTCTATCTGGCTTGTCTCTCCGCTAGGGTCAGCAAGCCTCTTGAAGGAGGGAATGGGATCCTCTTAGAGCCACCTTATAACACAATACCCTTCCCCCCATTATGGATACGCAGTAGATGCTGTTCAATTCAGTGTCCTCCTGTATCTCCAAACCGATTCAAGCCAAACTGGGTACCAAAAGGTAGCATTCAGGAGGTGGTATTGGCTAACTATGTGTACTAGTTCAACGAAGGAAATCACCTCTGAAAGTACTGACTTTTCATGTCCACAGTAGAACTCATTCATTCAAAAAGTATTCATGCATGCCCATTCTGTACCAGGCCCCAAGGCGATAGCCAGAAACAGCTTTCTAAACTGTAGCATGGACAGATTATATAATTTGTCACCATTGCTTGCACAGCATCCACATAAAGGCACCTGGTTCCCAAGACAAAGGGTCTGGTTCTCTAGAAAGGAGTCATCCACGTCACGCCCCCCAGTGGCCGAAAGGGGCATGGTCAACTTGAAAGAACGCAGATTCCAAGTCCGGCAGGGCTAAATTTGACCGGGTCCCCCTTTATCAGCTATGAATACTTGGACACACTCCTTCACCTGTCATACTTTTCTCCTCCACAAATGGGGATAATACCACCTTCATGGGGTTGTTGGGGAAAACAGATGACACACGCCAAGCCCCTGGCGTAGTTCTTAGAATCTAAAGGGTTTCTCAATAACCTGCTTGTTCCCATCCCTTCTCATGAAGAATGAAGGAGATGATGGCCTTCTAACCTTCTGTGAATTCCATTGGGTAGTGGGGGAGTCTGTGCAGGTTAACATCCATGGCCTGTTGAGCCTGGTGTATCATGTCGAAGAAGGGCTGAAACATGTCGTGGAAATTCAAGGGCTGGTAGCCAGGGAAAGGCATTATGTTCCGGGCAAAGCGGGGCTTGATATTGAAGAAAAAAGGCCTCCGCTGGAATGAGCTGAAGGGTGAGAAGTGGAAAGGGTCCTGGGGCTCACGGGTGAAGAATCTGTCCTGGAACAGCTCATCCATGATGCTGGACGCCCGGTCGAAACTGTCCTGCATGACGTCCAGGGCGTGGGTCTGCTGCCTGTCATTCTCCAGCAGGGAGTCGATGCGGTCGCCATTAATCCAGAAGTAGAAGGGAGAACTCTGGTTCAGGAACTCCTCAACCTGTGAGGGGCAGAACAGGGGAGTTAGGAGGAGCTCAGTGAAGTCCCAGCCTCCTCCTGCGTCCCCTTGCTGCCCCTCGGTCACCTCCATCACATAGCACATGACCAAAGCCCCTGCTGGGACTGGCTCCCTGACCCCCAACTGTCAGGCCAATCCCCTTTCATTCTACCCACCCAGTGGGGAAGAGTTTGAGAAGACGTCGGAGGCCAAGAGATGCACAAACCCCCATCACCCGAGACGAATCTCCTTTCTGGTCACCAAGGATTCCCCACATCCCGACTCAGCCAAGGGCCAATGGAGAGGTCTTTAGTTCATGAGTCCCAACCAGGCGAGGCCCACAGGGGAGGATAGGATCAATGTTAATGTGCTAAAATTCCTAATTCCTTTTGCCTAAGTGGACCCAGGGATGTGCCACTCCACGAAGTCATTTGTTATGTCATCCAGCTAATCATTTCTGGATGAGAATCTTCTAAGAGACAGCACAGGTGCTTTGGGTGACTTCACATTTGCACACTGAGGGCAAACGTTGCCAACTGATCGTGGCACTCCAGGCCTCAGGGCAGCTGGGACAAATCAGTTGCATCTGGCAGGTGAAATGAAGCTGTGATACTGTGATTTATAGAAAGAAGTGTCTATTTGGTCTTTGTCTGCTTCCTAGAGCCCTTAGAATTTCCTGTGAGGAGAGCAATAAACTTACATGCTAATAATAAATTTAAAAAATAATAAAGCTATGCTAATGAGGTGATTTTTGGAAAGCACCTGAGGATGGAGGCTGGTCGACAGCTGAACCCACCGAGATTGGAACGATGGAATTTTTAATCTCATCTCCTGATTTCAGGGGAGGGGAGAGGGGCTGGAAGTTGAATCCATCAGCAATGGCCAATGATTTAATCAATCATGCCCGTGGGAGGAAGACTCCTTAAAATCCCACAAGGAAGGGCTTGAGGAGCTTCTGGGTGGCTGAACACGTGAAGATGGAGGATGGAGGCGAGTAGCGCCCTCTCAGAGGGCATGGAAAGTGCCCCACCCCTCGCCCACACCTTGAGCTATGCATTGCCTCCCTTTGGCTTTTCGGAGTTATATCCTTATATAATAAACCAAGAACCCAGTAAGTCAAATGTGTCTCTGAGTTGTGAGCTTCCCCAGCAAATTAAATGACCATGAGAAGGGGGCTGTAGGAACCTCCAATCTATAGCCAAGGCCAGAAGCACAGGTGACAAGCCAGACTTGTGATGGGTACCTGAAGTTGGGGCGGGGGTGGGTGTGAGCAGGACAGGCTTGTGGGCCTGAGCCCTTAGCCCGAGAGATCCCCCATCTCCAGGGAGAGAGTGTCAGAACTGAGCTGATTTGTAGGCACCCAGCTGGTGTGGGAGAACTGCCCCACGGGTTGGAACAGGGTTGGCGGGTCGGGGGAAGGACCAGAGAAGAAGCATATTTCCCTCCATTCCCGCCTCCACCGCTCAGAGCCCGGCGGTGCTCAACAGCCCCACCCCTTTCACCTGGTGGCCAACCAGCCCCGTGCCGCTTCTGCAGACGCGGGCGTAGAACTTCATGCAGGTCTGTTTCAGGCAGGGCTTACACTCCTCCCAGAGGGCCATCATGGTGTCGTTGCACACCCCCTGCGACGCCTTCAGCTTCGTTTCTGAATCCTTGGTGTCATTCAGGGCATCCTGCAGGAGGACACGAGGCCAGGTTAGCCACGTGGAAACCACAGGCTTCACGCTCTCCAAGCAGGCACAATGCCGGGCCCTCCACCCACTGAGGCAGGCCTTCCCAGGGCTGGCCACACCACATGCCTATTTCCTCCTCTGGCTCCTGCGTTCCCCCATTTGCCTGGAATTCCCTCCCCACCCCACTTTAAGCATCTTCTCAACTTCGAGACCCGGTTTTTCTTCCTGGTCTTCCCCGTCCACTAGAACCCACGTGGATATCCCTTTCCTCTGACACTGCACTTAGTCTTGACCCCAGGATTGACCTCTCTTTTATACCCTATTTTCTAACCTCAACTTCTGGTGTTTAAATGTTGTCTTCCAAAGCTTCCAGAGGCGCTTGGAATCTTATTTGTCTAGTGCAGCCCCGGTCCCTGGCACGCCATCAAAAATCAAAGTCACAACAGCTATCAAAACTCTCTAGCACATCCATGGCATTTGGCCAGGTAATTCTGTAAGAATCCGCCCCAAAGAATTCCTGCAGTAAAGGGGAAATCCAATGCATGAAGATCTCTGATACGGTGTTCTTTAATGGCACAGGCTGGGTGGGAAATACTCAATCAACCCGAATGCTTAAAAATAGAAGGTCAAGGTGCACGATGGCTCTGTGGGTTAAAGCCTCTGCCTTCGGCTCAGGTCATGATCTCAGGATCCTGGGATTGAGCCCTGCATCAGGCTCTCTGCTCAGCAGGGAGCCTGCTTTTCCCCCCTCTGCCCCCCGCCTGCCTCTCTATCTACTTGTGATCTCTGTCAAATAAATAAATAAAATCTTAAAAAAAAAAAAAATAGAAGGTCAAGCAAATCATTGGTCTACACAAGGCCAGAGACACGCTTTTTGAGGGGTTCATTGTTAACTTTCAAATAGTATAACAAGCATTTTTCATGTTAACAAGGTGTGATTTTGAATATAGTGACTATCAGAAGAGTATAAAGGAAAACAAAGGAGCAAGAAACAGATCAAATGTTAACAGTGAATTGTCCATAGGTAAAAGGTTACGGAAAACTTTTCCTCTTCCACTTTTATATATTAAAATCACAACAAATGAGTGTGTTAACCTTTCGAAGAAGAATTAAGTAGACCATCCACACCCCAAAGCAAAGGTACGGGAAGAGCTGACCAGGAGGACCTTGAGTTCTGTGAGATCACTCTCCTGTTCCAGGTGCCATGCTCCTGCTGGGAAGGCCGCCGTGCCTCCCACCCAGCCAACCCACAAGCAAGCATCAACCTCGCTGCCCACTTCCTCTCTTTCACATTCACAGATTCAGGAACCAAGACGTCATGGAGTCTTGTCCTCAACTTGATGTGCTTTCTCACAAAACCTGGATTGGAGAATACTAAACTGATGATAACCCCAAAAACTCAAGAACAGGACTTGCCTGACACTTTTCTAGGAGCTCCTTGAGGATTCTCCCAGAATGGTGAGGAAAAACACTGATGCCAAGGAAGGGCACTGCGTCAAAAGAAAGAGCGGGATCCAGGCCAGCATTTCCCTAAGTGGCCTCCAGGGAATTGTGCTGAAAGCTATCATGGGGAGAGGGGCACCTGGGTGGCTCAGCTGGTTAAGCTCCTGCCTTCAGGCTCAGGTCATGATCCCAGGCTCCTGGGATCCAGCCCCACATTGGGCTTCCTGCTCAGCAGGGAATCTGCTTCTCCCTCTCCTTCTGCCCTCCCACCATGTGCATTCTCTCTCTCTCTCTCTCTCTCTCTCTCTCGAGCGCACGCGTGTGTGTGTGTGCGCGCTCCAGCTCAAATAAATAAATAAAATCTTTAAAAAAAAAAAAAACTATCATGGGGAGAAAAAAAGGATTCCCTGGTCAATTCGGTTTGGAAAACACAGGGTTAAATGAAGTTCCACAACCTTCTTTACTACAGAACTTCTCAGAGCCTTTAAAGCACTTTACTGGGTGTGGTGCATAAACAATGAATTTTGGAACACTGAAAAAAAAATTAAATTAAATTAAAAAACAAACAAACAAACAACACTTTTGTATGCATCATAGGTCAGGAAAGTGGCAGGTGACCCATCTTAGCCTCTCCATCATTAGGGGTAGGGAGGCAATGGGAGTAGGTTTTTAGGATACCCTTAAGGAGACTGCTGATTTTTAAAATTAGTCGTTTACTCCATTATGGTGTTTTAGTTTTGTTGAATCATTAAGCACAGGCTAGACCCACTATTTTCACTATCCAACTTAGATGTCTCTTTATTAAGGAGTCAGAACTCTAGAAAGCCATGGGGCACTGCAGTTTGTACCTGCCTTCACCCCAAAGTTATTGCCCTACTAGATAAGCTTCTGAAGGTGGGGCGCCACCCCCCTCCTGACCCGGGGCAGATCTGATCCGAAGCCTACCTTGGAGCTTGCATAGTCAGGGTTTAGAAAAATCTACTGAAGTGAATCAGTCATCATCAGGCCCCGGGCCAAGCTGGTAAGAAACCAGATCCAAGAGCCAACCCCTTGAAGCTCTCAAAAGCAAAGAAACCTTCCCTCTTTCTTAACTACAGCCCCAGCATCAGCTGACACTAGCTTGAGAGGGCCCAGGGTCACCACGGCAACCCAGCAGGGCACCCGAGGGGGGATGGCCCCTCCCCTCCACAGAGGGGGTGCGATCTGGTCCTCTGGCTTCTCCTTACCTCTTTCTTCTTCTTGGCTTCTTCCAAGTTGGTGAGCAGGGATTTGCGCTCCTCGTTTGTTTGTTCTATTAGGGTCTTTATCTGCTTCACCCCCTTGAGAGCATTTTTAATTTCCCGATTAATGTACTTACTCCCCTCGGTGGACATTTCTGCAAGAGAAGGGCAGGCAGGGAGAGTGAGGAGAGAGGCAGAGATGGGGCTGGGGATACCACTCTAGAACGAGCTGGAATGGTTGGGAAGGCCAATTCAGTCCAGGGGCTCTCCAGGCTGGGAGCACCCACCCCCAACTGGGTGGCCTTTGGACCCCAGCTTTGCCCTGACTGGGGTAGGGGAGGGGATCACGGGGCTTATTGTGGACCCAGTCCCCAAGTAGGGACTAAAGCAGCCGCTCTGGAGAACGAGCCTGCCCAGCTGCAGGGGAACATTTTCAAGGGGAAAAAGTCCTGAGAAACAAAACAGGAGCATAGGGGAAGGGAAGGAAAACTGAAACAAGACGAAATCAGAGAGGGAGACAAACCATGAGAGATTCTTGATCGCAGGAAAGAAACTGAGGGATGCTGGAGGGGAGGGGGGCGGGGCGCTGGGGATAACAGGGTGACGGGCATTAAGGAGGGCATGGGATGGACTGAGTGCTGGGTGTTAGATGCAACAGATGAACCACGGATCTCTAGCCCTGAAGCTCATAATACACTAGATGCGGCTTAAATTGAGTTGAAATAAAATATTTTTTAAAAATATTCTGGGGACGCCTGGGTGGCTCAGTTGGTTAAGCAGCTGCCTTCGGCTCAGGTCATGATCCCAGCGTCCTGGGATCGAGTCCCACATCGGGCTCCTTGTTCTGTGGGGAGCCTGCTTCTCCCTCTGCCTCTGCCTGCCACTCTGTCTGCCTGTGCTCGCTCTCTCTCTCTCTCTCTCTGACAAATAAATAAATAAAATCTTAAAAAAAAAAATATTCTGGAAGCATAACCATTTAAACATCAAAATGTAAAATCTTATATTGGATACAAGCGTTTCGGGGACTCCGTTTTACCAAACATCTGAACTTCCTTCTCCCATGGCTCCATGAGATAAGGGACACAAAGATGAATTAATGGCACCATTCCACAAGGAAGCTGTGATCAGGACACAACGCCCTGGGGCAAATGCAAGGAGACAGTTTCACCGAAATAGTGAAGGTGAAACAGCTAAGGCTCCTCTAGTGGCTGTCCTAGGCCAGGCACTGAGCCGGCCAGGACATATGCCTTTTCTGTAAATGCTCTCTGCACTGCCTATATCATCCCCACTGCAGCTCCAGGACAAAACAGTGAGATCAGATCCTCGTCCCGGGTTAATACAGCTGGGGGGGGTCACAGGGCCAGACACATACCTGAGTCTGATCTCCAAGTCTGAGTTTTTTTTTTTTTTTTTTTTTAAAGATTTTATTTATTTATTTGACAGAGAAATCACAAGTAGACGGAGAGGCAGGCAGAGAGAGAGAGAGAGAGAGAGAGAGAGGGAAGCAGGCTCCCTGCCAAGCAGAGAGCCCGACGCGGGACTCGATCCCAGGACCCTGAGATCATGACCTGAGCCGAAGGCAGTGGCCTAACCCACTGAGCCACCCAGGCGCCCCACCAAGTCTGAGTTTTTAACAAGACCCCTAGGAACTAGTCAGCTTGTAGGACCAGGGTGGGGAGGAGGGCACAGGGAGGAGGGGTTTCAGGAAAGGCCTGGCAGAGGAGTGCACCCCAAAGCTGGGCTCTGCAGGAGGATGTTTCCCCTTTTCTGGATACGGACCACTGGGTTTCTAGGTGGAAAGGTGGAGGGGACATATAGTAGGTGCCATGGGGACGCAAAAATGGAAACTCACGAAGGCTCAAATGAGCCAGGCTTCCCAAAGGAGGTGTGGGCCCTGGGACAAGCAGACTGGTGAAAAGGGACACAGCCACCAGAAAGCGCTGGGGATACACCTGAAAAATGCCTAGAAGCCCACCTGACCGCCAAGAACCTAGACCAGGTAGCTGCGGGAAGGAGGCCCCGAGAGGGACCCGCCTGAGCAAAGCCGATGGGTCTCTACTGCTTCGGGCCCTGGCAGAGAGGAAGTGGCCTGGGAGGGGACACCTGTTCCACTTACCCTGGAGCTCAGTGTCTGAGACCATCTGGTCTCCCAGAACCCGTCCATTCTCCCAGGTCAGCAGCAGCCCCACCAGCAGCAGGAGAGTCTTCATCGTGCCTCCCTCTCCAATTCTGGAATCCCAGCAGGCCTCTGTTTGTAGAGAACAGGAGACTGTCATGGTAACAGCTGGCCAGCCTGCTGGTTTCCGGCTGGCCTGCAGCCTCCAGCAGCTTCCCCGGAGCCCTGTGGAGGCCCTGCCCTCAGCCAGCCCCTCAGCTGGCACTACCTTGTTTCTAATCCCAGGGAAATTAGGAGAAAAGATCGGACTTGCCACTGGACCCCTTCAAAAGAAAGTGGAGGCTGGGGATACAGGGGGGAACCACAGGAGAAGCAGCCTAATACAGAAGAAACTAGAACTCTGGAGTCAGAGCCTGGGCTCAGGTCCAGCCCTCCTCTTCCTCCTCCTCCTCTTCCCCCAAAAATCGCTGACTCAGTCTGAGCATGTGTTTTCTGCATCCAGAAAGGACATCTATCTGATACCTGCTCCTATCAAATAAACACTCAAAACACCTCTCTAGGCTCCGCCCCTCTCCTTCCCCAGCCCTAATGTGGGGACTTTCTTGGAAGCCCCTGCTGTGTGCAGTCACTAATCAGGCCCACAGCAGGTGTCCCCAATCTGTCACAAAAGAAAAATCCCCTTTTTGTCCACCAAACCTCAACACCCCCTAAAACATCCTTTAAAAAAAAAAAAAATGACTTTATTTATTTATTTGACAGAAAGCCAGAGAGCACAAGTAGGGGGAGCAGCAGGCAGAGGGAGAAACAGGCTTCCAGCCAAGCAGGAATCCTGATGTGGGACTCGATCCCAGGACCATGGGATCATGACCTGAGCCAAAGGCAGATGTTTAACCGACTGAGCCACGCAGGCGCCCCCCCAAATGGCCTTTCAAGACTCGAAGGCAGTGAGATAAATGCCACTTGCCACCCCTGGCAGGAGACCTAAGATCTAGATCCCTGCATAGATTTGGGGTGTGAATGTAGCAGAGCAGGGGACAATTGTCTTCAGAGAGTAGTGGGGGCAGAGTCAAAGGGCTAAAGGGTGGGCCCTACGCCTCCCCAGAAGTTCCCTCTGGATGGATGGGCCCCTTTGTCACCAGGTCCTTTTCCCATGGCTGTCCCCTTTAAGCCCACAGTAGGGTGACTTGCCAAGGTGCCCCCCCCACCACTCAGCTGACTGCTGGGAGCCCAGGACAGCCCAGTGTTACACAATGGACCCTTTCCCAGAAGCTGGAATTGTTACACCAAACAGAAGCCCTCACCCCAGCAGCCCCCTCCACCACAATGCTTATCTGAACTCCCTCATTTCCCCTAACAGAACAGAGAGGTCGGGTCCCCCTTCCTGAAATTGTGAACATCAGAAAAACTGCCCTCGGCTCAGCAGGCCCATAGAAACCCTTGGTAGCACATGAATAAAGGAAGCCTCTCCTGGAAAATAGTAAAGCAGCCAAGCTGTGGGTCCCAAACCAGCCGCACAGCAAAGGCACAGCGTGGGAGAAGAGAGTGGGTCACTGCCTTCCCCAAAGACAGGGTGGGTGGCTGAGTCGGGGTGCTATTTCAGGCCTGCCAGAAGGCCCAAGGCTCAAGGGCTCTGCCCTAGCTGCTCACTGAGGCCTGAAAACGCCTCAGAGGGACACAGAGCTTTTGTGACGCCCAAGAGAAAAAGCCAGCAAGAACACCCACCTCTCCCCGAGAGGCCCCTGGATACTTCTCAGAAATTCATACAAGAGCCTCTGAATTAGGCCTAGACCAGGAGACACGGCGTTGGGCCCTAAAAAAAAGGGAGGTGGGGCAAGAGCACTGATGGAGGAGTCCAGAAACCCAGCAGCCAATACAGTCTCACACCAGGAGCCTGGGCTCCATGGGGCGCCCCTGGGTCCCGAGCAGAGAAAAATCAGCCTCTTGCCCCAATCCTTGGCCTCTGAGGAAAAGCTAAACCCAGAGACAGCATGGGGCTCCCAAAGGCCTGCAGCAGGCTGGGAATCCAAGGATGAGGACCCCGCCCCCCCATCTCTAGTCCAGTGTCCTTTCCCGGACACCAGGTAACTTAAATGTGACCTCAGTGTCTTCATCTGTACAATATACCCCATGTAGACCTCTGAGATGTGACTGCCTTCTGCAAACACAGGGGTCTTAGATAATCACAGTAAATTCTGGCTGTTTCGAAATCTGACCTAGGACCCGTTGTGGCCATTGGCACTATCCTTCGGGGAAGTGGGAGGAGGTGGCATGTTTGGAGAAGGGCAGAGGAACCTGTGACCCCTCCCAGTGAGGCTTTGCTCTGGTGCAAGGCTCAGCTCCCTTAGAGAACCTAGGCATCACCTGGGATGGTGGGGGAGGGGGATCTTGTGACAATGCTGACTCTGACTCTTAATATGATATTGATACTGCCCATCCAAGGGCAGCACTAGAACTCTCCTCTCCTCTCGGCTCGGCCTGGGCACCCGGCTACCGATGCCCTGCCAAGGTCCTCCTCTCCCCACCCACCACCACTATGCAGTCCCCACCGCCCCCCAGCAGGCTTCACCCACAGCAGACTGAGCCATGGGAAGGACACAGAGACCTAAGCCAAAAGAGTCACACATGCAGCTAGCGTGCTGCACGGTTTTTAACGCCCAAGACCCAAGTTCCATCCCACTGCCTCCCCTAATGTAGGAACCAAACGGAAAAGAAAAACAAGGCACTGGTAATTCATGCCATCCAGAGACAACTACTAGCACTGCTGTAGATGTCCTTCGATTTTCTATGCATTTCTGTGCAATCCGATCCCTTACACCCATTATCCTCAAATAGTTCTTTAAAAGCACACCTTTGGGGCTGCAGAATGGTGCATTTTCTGGTGGCCTCTATTTTGCCCTCCCACAAGGTTGGGCATTTACATTGTATGTAATTTCCCAGTGTTATTATAATGAAGACTCAAGCCGGCACCCTTTCATTCTATCTGTCCTTATTCTTAAATTCCTAACCTCTTTTTAAAAATAAAAATAATAGGGGCGCCTGGGTGGCTCAGTGGGTTAAAGCCTCTGCCTTCGGCTCAGGTCATGATCTCAGGGTCCTGGCATAGAGTCATGATCTCAGGGTCCATGATCTCAGGGTCCTGGCTCACTGCTCAGTGGGGAGCCTGCTTCCCTCTCTCTCTCTCTGCCTGCCTCTCTGCCTACTTGTGATCTCTGTCTATCAGGTAAATAGATAAAATCTTAAAAAAAAAATAAGAATAATAAACAGCTTCTTCCTTTTTTTTTTTAATTAGGTCCAGAAATTCTGGAAGATCAAGGCTTCAGTTCTAGTCCTGAGTCTAACATCTACATGCTGTTTATCTTGGGAAAGGATCCTAAACCGCTCCAGACCTCAGACTGTCATCTATAAAATGAGACATTTGGAGCAGACGTCTGCGATCTGATGACAGTTGTGACTTTTCTCTGATGTATCCTGGGCATTAGGAAGCAGAAAGAGTGCGATTTAAGTGGCTGCAACATGTACTTAAATCAAAACATACTTATGATCATCCTTTGGAGAGAAGTACGGAATTTAGGGGCAGACCAGACGACTCAAGCAGGCAAACTGACCACCACAGGAGCCCAGTACCTGGACAAGGAGAACGCCACAGAAGGTCTGGGCCTCCTGCAATAGGCATTAGCTCTCCAAGCCGCACTTCCCCATCCTTGCAAAAGGAGGGTCATTACACCTGTCCTAGTTAACCCACAGAACTGTGGCTGCAGCTAGCGAGCACGGGAGCTCCGGAGTCCTGGCCCGAGCGCCACCCCGCAGCAGTTCGGCCTCCAGCTCGGCGGCCCGGTGACGGGGCTCGAGCCACCTCCCTTCCCTTGTTCCCCGACTCCATCCGAAGCGCAGCTCTGACAGCCCAGGTGGTACCAGCGATCTTCCTGTCCTCTCTCGGTTACCACCCCCGGTTGCCACCCCCCGCTCGGGTCCCGGTGGGGCTCTGAGCCGGTAGGAGAGGTGGGGACATCTCACCGGTCAGCGGCGCCCGGCGACCGTGCGCTGCTCCTGGCGACGCCGCGTGGTGAGCACCGTGAGGCGCGCGTATTTATAGCGCTCTGTCTCGTCTACACCCCTTTTGGGGCTGGCTGCAAACCTGCATGACTCACGCCCAAAGAATGCTGTGGAATTCACCGGGAGCTTTCTGGAAGCCGGCGCCGGAGGGGGCGAAGAGGCGGGGTAGGGGTGCGCAGAGGCGGGGTAGGGGGGCGCTCCCGGGCAGCACCCGACGGGGGGCGCGCGTAGGGCGGGTTGGGGAGAGGGCGGCAGGGCTCCTGCACCGCAAACCGCCGCGCGGGGGTGCTGCGGTGCGCCGCTCGCTGCTAGCCGCTTCCCAACTACCCCGCGGCTCAGAGTTGGGGGACCGTGCCCCCAGGAGGGGAAGGGCTCCAGTTAAGATGCGCAGCTCGGGGACCCCTCCACGGGGTTCCAGGGGTGCACTACGCTCCAAAACAAAATCGCACAATTCTTTCTGATTGAACGTGAGCCTCGTTCCACTTTAGTAGAAAAGCATCAGAAATTATGAGGGTGGGCTGGAGAGGGTGTTGTGCGAGAGAACACAGAGCGAGAAAGAAATGCCACTTCTCCAGCCATCACAGTGACCCCCGTGGGCCTTTGGTGCACGTGCTGGCCAGGAGGAAACAGGAATGTGTTTTGGGGGGTGAACTGAGCATACATTGAGGGAACCACAACATCCCCCTGGCTCCTTGATTCCTGAACCTTAAGCAATTATTGTCCCCACCCATTTGGGGCCCACTTAAGCCGGGTGGGCTTCACGGTGTGGGACTCGGCAGCCCCACACTTGGCTTGAGGGCTCTCCCTGCAATGTTGAAATTCCTCATGGTTGTTGAACAAGGGGTCCAGAATTTTCATCTTGCACCTGGCCTTGCAAATTAGTACAGGTCCTGTTTGCAAGGGAAGGGAGTTGGGGCTCATTTAGCTTGATGGGTCTGTCTCAGTTCCCTCTGCTGACAGGAGGAGCTAATTTCTAGACTCCCTTTGGCAGGGGGCTATGAGGTTCCAGAGAGATGGGAGCCTGGCAGGGAGGGCACCAACCCAGATGCCCCTCAGGTATAGCTACTTCTTGGGAAAGAAACAGAGGCACCTGCTCTGGAACCCCAGGACATTTGCACTCCAGGTGAAAAGTCAAGTTGCCTGCTGGTGGTTCTCACACCGATGGGGGGAGAAGGGTAGGCCGGGGGGTGGGGGGGTGAAGGCAGCCTGGTTTGGGTGGCCAACTTTGAAAGCCACTCGAGACGTAAGGCTTTAGGGGAGATCTGTAATGGTCAGGGGCTGAGTTTTTCTGCCCAACACTTCCAGAGCTATAGCTTGAGGCCCAGTCCCTAGTGGCCCAAGGTCCAGGGACAACTGGGACCCCACCCTTTTTCTGGAGGGAGCACAAATGGAGCTTCTAGGCCTATGAAGAAGTAGGGGCACTTGAGCTGGGTGCATGGATTTCTGACTACAGTCTTAGTTCTGCCCTAAAGTTCTGGGTGACCTTGGACAACCACTTTGCCCTCTGGGCCTCAATTTCTTCCAAGTGGACAATGAAGAATCGGGAAGGTAGGTGTCATCTCTAAGGTCTCATTCAGCCTAACCTGAGACAATGTCAAGTGTTGAGAAAATCAGCCCAGAGGGGGAAAAAAAATCCAGTGAAAATGTGGAACAATATTTCTCTCTTGAGGCTTCCTGTTATTTCTCTTTAAAAAGAAAAAAGTCTAATTATCAGTAACAGCTACATTTTCTATGGAAACTGCCTCCTCCTTACCATATCAATGACTGAGGTCACAGGAGCTGTTTTTGAGCACTCCTTGTAACTTCTCTGTTCTGTGCCCACCCCCCCACGCCCCACCCCCCCCACATCCGGCACAAGAGGCATAAATCTGTGATAATTATATTTGTAAAAATCAGATTTTGAAGGACAGACAAGGAGATCTGCCTCAGTCAGCTGAAGTGGGGGAAGGGAGGAGAGGGAGAGGGGATTTGGAAGAAAACTTGATCACTCCGGCTACTCAGCAAACAAGGCTCAGCTGATTAAACTTTAAAGGGGGAAATTGTGAATTTTGAAAGCTATCACACCATACCCCAGTGCTGATTCCCCACCAACACCAGTAATGCTCCCCCTCTCCCCTGGTGATCATCCTGCCTCTGTTTGAATGCCCCCAATGACTGAGAGCTTACTACCTGTATGCAAACAACTGTCTAGAAAAGCTATTGATAGCACTAGGTTCTCAGAGTCTGGCCCCTGCAAGGGCAGCCCCCAAGCCCGGTTCTGTCCTTCGAAGCCATACAGGAAAACCCAATCCCTCTCCCTCCTGCTAGTCCTTCTGATACTTGAAGGCAGCTAGTTGCTTCTCCCAGTGATCTCCAGGCATGTGCCTGCCTGCCCTGTCCTTGTTTGCAGATTCCTCCCCAGCCCTTTGGCCTTCTGGACCTTGCCTCTCTTGCTGCTCTGAGCCCAGCGGTGAACCTGCCAATACCACGGAGGGCTGACCACCTTTCCCTTTGCTCAGATGTTCTAGACAAGGTTCTGTTTCACTGCTGAGTCACTTGGCTGATTCATATAGAATTCGTCATCTTTTTGGCAGATGCTGCTGTTTAATCATTTTGCTCCCATCTTGGACTTATGCAATCAGTTTGGGGTTTGTAGCTTGATTTTTTTTTTTTTTTCCCCTGGAACAGGGGACCATGGGTAGGGTGTGAGGGGAAAGTAAAGGGCTCTATGTTTATCGATTTATCTGGTTTATCTCTGTATGCTTTTCCTCACCTTCTCTCCCCTGCTATGAAATATCTTTGTCATGCACCCCTATCACCACCACACTGTCCAGCTCAGTGCCACCAGCCCGACCACTGCCGGCATAGCTGGAACAAGCTAGAAATGGTCAAGAGCAGTGAGTAGCCCGTGGCCTACTATTAATCATACCTCTCCAGGCTCGAATTATTGAACAGGTCTGTTCCATCAGTTACAGACCTATGAAAAAAAACATGTTTTTTTTTTTTTTTTCAAGATTTTATTTATTTGACAGAGAGAGATCACAAGTGGTCAGAGAGGCAAGCAGAGAGAGAGAGAGGAGGAAGCAGGCTCCCTGCAGAGCAGAGAACCCGATGCGGGACTCGATTCCAGGACCCTGAGATCATGACCTGAGCCGAAGGCAGAGGCTTAACCACTGAGCCACCCAGGTGCCCCCAAAAAATCATGTTTGATAAAAATTGTATACAGTAAACTCAGCCCACAGCAGGTGCAGAGGTGTCCTGAATGCTTTTTCAGGACCTCCCTAACATAACAAAAGTGTCACTCCATCAGGTGCATTTCTCTCTCCTCGCATCTAGGGAATACGTTTTTGGGAAAAGATACGAAGCTAGCCTCCTCCAAGATGCTTACCATGGACCTCTGAGTAGACAAATATTACTTAAATTATCTTCACTGCTACACTTGCTATTGACTGACTCCATGGTCTAGATGTTACTCCAGAATTGGTCAACTCTAACATTTAGCTCTAATTCTTTGATTAATGGGCATTTTAAAAAGCTTTATTTATGTATTTTGGAGAGAGAGAGGAGCAGAGGAAGAGAGAGGAGAGAGAGATTGCTAGAGCAGACTCCCTGCTGAGTGCAGAGCCTGACATGGGGCTCGATCCAAGGACCTCGAGATCATGATCGGAGCTGAAATCAAGAGCCAGCCGCTCAACAGACTGAGCCACCTGCTCAACAGACTGAGCCACCCAGGAGCCTCAGCGGGCATTTTTTTTAATTGGCCCCCAGATCTGTCTCAGGGCAAACCTAATTTTTCCACAATCACCTGGAATCCAACTAGTAATTATTTTAGGTCAGTGATTTTCTGTGGAACCATACAATGAAATCTCTTGGGGAGCTTTAAAACTTACCAGTGCCTGAGTCCCACCACCAGAGGTTATGATGGAATCAAGCTTGGATACAGCCAGAGAAAGCATCAGGACTTTTCAGATTCTCCAGGCAGTTTTTTTTTTTTTTTTTTAAGATTTTATTTATTTATCAGAGAGAGAGAGAGAGCAAGTGTAAGCGCACAAGCAGGGGTTGTGATGGTCAGAGCAAGAGGCAGGCTCCCCACCAAGCAAGGAGCCTGATGCAGGGCTCGATCCCTGAACCCTGGAATCATGACCTGAGTTGAAGGCAGATGCTCAACTGACTGAGCCACCCGGGAGTCCCTCTCCAGGTGGTTTTGATGCACGGCCAAAATTGAGGATTACTGTTTTTCCAGCTTATAAATTACTGGCTTGCACTGTGCCCGTTGATCCTCACCCTACCTCTACGTCCCTGTTAAGAGTATGTGGTATTCTTCTGTTTCATAAAAGACAAAATTAGGGGTCAAAGAATCTTAGCAGATTTTGCTTACACTGAACTGAAATCTGCCCCTTTATCACTTCTCTGTCCCCTGTCTTATTTCTAAGGTGCTATATGTTAAGTTACCCCTCCCATACAGGACAGCCCTTCAAATATTTGAAAACACTGATTCTGCCTCAACTTAGATACATTTCTTTCTTTTCTTTTAAGATTTTATTTATTTATTTATTTATTTATTTATTTATTTAGAGAGAGCATGAGTTGGGGGAGGGGCAGAGGGGAAGAGAAAGAGAAAGTATCTCAGGCAGACTCCCCGCTGAGCACAGAGCTGGACAAGGTGCTCGATCTCAGGACCCTGAGATCACGACCTGACTGGAAATCAAGAGTCGGATGCTTAAGCAACTGAGCCATCCAGGTGCCCCGACATATTTCTTTTTTTTTTTTTTTTTCAAAGATTTTATTTATTTATTTGACAGACAGAGATCACAAGGAGGCAGAGAGGCAGGCGGAGAGAGAGGGGGAAGCAGGCTCTCCACCGAGCAGAGAGCCCGATGTGGGGCTCGATCCCAGGACCCTGAGATCATGACACGAGCCGAAGGCAGAGGCTTAACCCACTGAGCCACCCAGGCGCCCCCCGACATATTTCTTTGTACGGGTCCTTCACTCCCTTCTCAGAGAATGAGGTTGCCAGATACCTACTCTGCTCCTCCCTGCCCCAAGGGTGATCCATTTTGTCCTCACTCCTCTGGTGTGGCTTTAGGAACAAACACAAGACCCAGCTTTGGGCAGCCAGGCAGGAGGGCAGCAAGGCACAACTTGGGATTTAATACGA